GTCATTGAAAGTCATCAATTTTCCGAAGACAACTATGATCAGACACTCTGATTGCCAGAACTTTGTAAACGACTGAGTCAGTTCCTAATTCTGAAGATCGTCAACATTATAAGAAAAAGCTGGAGGTAAGTCACCTGGACCTGGTTATTTGTATCTCATAAAGAATTGGAGTTATTTGAAGATTTCCATCTCGTTAGGTGGATCGGCCGTCACGGGCCATGGGGAGCAGGACAGTGTGATCGATGTCGCTAGGGCAAAAGACCAGTTGAACTGTTCCTCGAAATGCTCTGTCCAGTGCTCAAGACGTCAGTAATGTAAATGATTGGTGCCCCGTCAGCTTCACAGATTATTGCGCTCACACAAGACTTCTAGCTGCCAGTACTTAGATGATTTAAAAGAGCCTCCAGCAGTTACCAGATGCAGCTGCTGCTCCCAACTCGTTAACGCGTCCTGAACACCAGGCTTGTCGGCCCCTATGCGAGCTTGGCACAGTTTCATCGCGTAAAAATCTTCGTTTATAGAAAAACTAGTGGTTAGCCGGAGTAAACTGGCGTCCTTCAGCAAGTTATCAGAGGCCTGCAGAAACCTAGTGCATTTAAGTGGGACTTTTTGCGAAGTCGCAAACGACTTTACTCGCCATTTTCACGAAGTTATGCAACTGCAACCAAAGTTCATTTTTACATTTTAGTGAGTTGAAAGCTAGACTTGAACCTAGCTTGGTTTGATATTTAGTTGCAACAGAAGCTGAGACCAGGTTGTTGACATCCACCCGTTTATGGAGATAATTTTGTTGGCCACTGAAACGTGAGATAAGATTTGCGCAAACAAGAGTCTTGACAATTAATCCGAAAGAAGTGGCAGTTTTGTACACAACCACGTCAGCTGTAACTGACCGCAATATGTTCAGTCTGAATCTAGGCTTAAAATGAAGATGAAGGATCAAGGTATCACACCAGCGATAAATGTGCCAATAGTTAGTGCTAGGCAGAAACAGGTTGTAGTCTAAGAAAATTTATCAGATATGCGTCGAATATGTCCCCATTTGTCACTTAAACGACTCATCTATGTGCCTAGATGACCGACATGTTCATTCAAATCTTCGACTAGCACTACAATATCTATCGGACGCTCTTTCTGGTGATCGCTTAACTGGTAGAAGAACTCATTCATGATTGAATCTCAGCTGCAGTCTTCGTGGGGTAGTCAGAGATTAAGAAAAAGCATCGTTTCTCACACTTATTCCCTATCACTTTCATAGAGCTTTCTAATGTGACAGCACATAACCGACTGTTAGTGGAGATCCAATTGATTAGTGCTGCCTAGACTCTAGAGCCTAGTGCGACAGTATGGCCAGAAAAACAACTCGAAGACGGTACAGGGTTCTTAGATGAGCGCACACGATACAAGATTTTCCAGGCAACAAATGATGAGCAATTTTGTAGTACCTCACCACAGTCTTCTATATAGGTCTCGGATAAACAAGAGACATCAATATTGAGATTTTATAAAGACATAAACAACTATTTCTGTTTTCAGATATGCATTAGTGTGAGAACGTTGAAGGAGGCCAGTTTGAATGTCGTACGTGTTTCCAGAAAGGCTGGTCCGGAATTCAGTAGAAGCATTCAACTTTCGATTAGTCAAAAACTTGAGATCGTTTAGATAAGACAGGGTTTCCACCACAAATCAGCTGCTGTAAAGCTGAATAATAAGAGAATATACAGAATCGGGATAAGGTAATAGACAAGTGACACGATGTAAGATAAGAACGAGTATTACTAAGTAGTTTTGAGTATAATGTACGAGAACGAGAATTAAAGCGAGAATGGTTTTTATAATTGTAGTCATCATTTAGTTTGTTCGAAGACTGGGTTACTGCTCGGGTGCCGAAACCCAAGCAGGTGATTCTCATGGGGGATTACTTCTCTAGCCTTTGAAGTAGAGGTTCAATCCACAAAACAATGCATAAACGTTAAGAGATGTAGTCCAATTGAAACCGGTAATCAACAACGGGTTCATTCTCAATTTACTCCCTCGGGATGCTGGAGCCTATAGTTTGTAATCAATGGTTTCCAACTGCACCCGGTGGTTCCCTCATATACACTAAACTGGTTAAAACTCTTTTCGGCCTCTCAATTCAGTTAGCAACGCCTTCACCGCGGGAAGAAGGACTTCCCTATCAGTGGTTGAGGGCTTTGCAATACAAGTGAAAAAAGTTATCACTTATAATACTGGTGATGTTTGTAAATAATTTACTCTTTGGTTATACACAGTTTATGCAATAACGAAGAAAAAGCCAGAAAATTCGAATAGTTATATAATCAAAATAATTGTTATTTATCTGACAAGAAACAAGATCAGGTTACCAAATGAGTATTCGTTATAAGATATCGGTTGATTTTTTGATTGATTGAAAATGTTACTGTAGACACCTAAAATAAAAAAGAAAAACTCGGAATATGTTATGCATTTTTGTAAGTAAGCAAATGTTGGCATTTCCATATATGTTATTAATGTGTTTTTACTTGAATATTCAACTATTCCGAACTATCGAGATTCGGTTGTTGCTATTTGTCAAAAAAATAGTCACGAAAACCATAAACAAAAGAATTTTTATCTTTCTTTAAGATTAATCACTGTTTTAATCCAGTTATTCATCCCCCAAATAACCTTGCGTCGTTACATAAAATGATATTAGCATTTTATTAACTTAGATGTTAGTCAGTTTTCTGTAATCTGAATTTATTACTTAATCATATAATATGTTTCAACAAGAACTAGAAATGAATGTCTGACCAAAAGTATATAATATAATTAGGATTTTTAGCGTGGACGGTTTTTGTATAGACTTGATTGTATTTTACTTAAGTAACTAAAGATTATTCTTATATGTGCCTCTGAAAGGTTATAGTAATTCATTATCTTACTCCTGAATCAAGCGATCTAATCTCCACAAGTAACAAGATGTTCTACCAGTGGAATGATAGGACATCTACGCACGACGATGAATAAACACGTCCTCAGCCACTAATGCACAGCTCAAGCCTTGTACTAAACAACGTAGTGATGTCGATAAATCGTTCATGTAAACATATCTAACCACCTATCACTCACACACTACAACTCCAAGAAATATTGTGGATGAACCTGAGGCGCTTCTTATTCACTCGCTTTGAACTAATGGAGAGAGGATATCCTGAGGTAACATTAAAAGATGAACTAATAACACTGATAGTAAGTTTTAGTAATGGGATTTTCCCTTCAGTGATGAGGTTTATGCAAATTTTACCATACTCTGATGTTTCAATATTTAAGCTTGGATTTGTAAAAATGGATCTGTGATATTTATACTACACATCGATTAAACTGAACAAATAAAATGGTATCACTGATCTAACTTATGTATTGTGTAAGTCAGGCTTTATTTAGATCTCCGGAGGAACGACTGATATTATTCATTATCTTTTGATTGGATTTAACTGAGAAGCTTATATGAAAGATTAAATAAGTAAGAAAATAAATATGTATTTTCATTCTGTATTGCATCTTCAAATCTTTATTTATTCCTTATAAAGAAACACCACTAGAGAAACGATTACTTATTTGTATTTGGCTAATTTTTTTTCTTTTAGCTTTAATGTTACTTATACAACCATCACGTGAATAAATATGAAAATGAACTGGTTATATCTATGGGGTTTTCAGTTTATAACCAAAATTTATACCGGATTTATCCTACATGAAACATGAACATGATTATAGTGACTTCATTCACCCATTGTTCATATATAACAATGTCACATAAAAAATAAAATGGATAAATAGGATGTGATAAGATATAGAATGAATTCGATCATAAACTTACTTGGATGTAACCATTATTCGGAATGGTTAACATGTTTTGGTTGAGGAGATTAATTAAATTTTATTTATAGTTGATTATTCAAAGTTACATTATAATGAGATTTTATTCATATGAATCAAAACAATTTCGACTTTTCGTCGTATAAATTCATTTCTTATGAATGATTGGCATTTGGAAGCTACCAGTTGATAAAATCATGAAACAATAGAGCTATTTTCACTAGTGACATGAAATGCAGGAAAGTAAATGTGTATCAGAATACTTATAGTGATATACAGCATAGAACCTAACAAATAAGTGGATCGGTTCAAGTTGTCATACAACATTAGCGCAGTGAGACATATTTCAAAGAAGTCGAAGTTGAAATAGCATTATTGTAGTAGAAAAAATCGGTGAGACTATAATTTATGGACGACCTTTGAGTGATGTTAGAGTGATCTTGAGTATGTCTACCTAATAACTAGGACAAAATCAAGGTTATAAACCAATATGAGGAATTACAATTATGATAGACAGTTGACGGTTAGGGTTAGGAATTAGATTTGATGTTTTAACCACGAACTGACATCAGTTATAATACCAAAACGGTATTTTGCCAAATGGATGAGTGAATTTTGAGTCAAAATCCGAAACCTATTATTTTATATCTGATTGGTTCGTTCATAAATTATAGTCTCGCCAAAAACTCATGTATAAAAAAGAGGAAAAAGGATAAGGAAACTTCGGGACTCAGTTTATGAATGTATTTGGACCAGTACAATCGATTTTGCGTTATCTCGTCGAGCGTCTCTATAATCATCAAGCGAAACCCAAACATACAGTTTGCATTTATTAACATTTCTCAGTTTATTTATCAATGACTTTATGCACTGGTGCCACCCCATGATCTGACGATCTCTAGCATCTTTCGAAATTACTCTTAAACCAAGGATGTATTCAAAAAGCATATTTGCTAAATAAATGATTCAATTGATTGCAAATTATGTCAGGATGAGTATTAACTATATATTTGACCAATAAAAGTCATATGATTCAGATAATACAATTTTATACCGCAGACTGATGGATTGGCTAATACGAAATAATATTATGTAGCCTAACAATTTCCTTAACAGTAGTAATGAAAAAAAAGACTGAGAAAAGGATGATTTATTGTGTAGAGAGAATGCAACATAGCCTGACAAAATAGTTCTCTTCTACAAAATGATTACATTGGTATTCGATATTCATACAAAACGGATGGTCACTTTCGCTCATACTGTCAAACCAGAGAACTGAAGCACGCAATGAAAGCAAATAACGGACAGTGTTTGAAAATTATCTATTATAAAATTACCTTGTCTCAAAATTATTTTGTAGGAATAATTTAAAAACTTCCATTCCTTGTACGAGTTTCCGATAAAAAAATTCCAAGTATTTTTGAACTAGGATCTTATAGTGCAAGTGAAACAGCAACATGGATACAAATGGAATGACATACCAGCAGAGTAAAATCCCCATGTATTGGTGAATTATCAAGAGATACAATTAAAAAATAGTTCATAACGTAGTAAAAGTTTCTTAAAATTCTAAATTTGTCATTAGAAATGGTACATAAAAGCACATTTCGAAGATTGATAAAATATTCTGAATCAAGTCAAATAAATTTATTTTTTAGAGAAGTACAATTGAACGCATTCGGAAGACTTGGTTCAAGTAACGCGTAATATATCATTGATATATAATAAGAGTGGTAGTCTGTGATAAAATTTTTCATTTATAAGCTAATGAGATTGAGGCGATAAATTAGCGAACAAATAGTATAACTAAAAAGTTAAATATCTAGATAGCAATTAATATAGGTTTCAATACTTTCATTACAAAAGTAAGAAACTCGCAAGCAACTTGAACAATAAACTAAATATCTCAACATTTGGTACTCAATGCAATAAGCTTTCATTCCTTTTCGTACATGGTCTGACGAATAATTAAAGCATCACTATAACTGTTACACCATCAGTTTCAAATTTACTTTAAATATTTGCAAATGAAAATAGAGTTCAAAAACTTGCAATAGTTTGACTGTAGTATCATACATTAGTTTATGACATCACTTTGGAAATATGTCCATTATTGAGTGGTTTCAAACGCAAATTACTCATCATATCACAATTGGTTAGTTGACAAAAATCTTCATGTGTCAAAAATCTTACTACAAACCGTGTAACCTGAAGATATTCTATGTGTCGGTAAATAAGTTCATCATATCAATGCTTATAAATCCCTCGTTAAATGAGAAAACTGAGAATTGGAAGAGCATAAACTTTTTATTGCTTTCGATAATGAAGAAAAGAAAAGAAAAACCAAATGAATGGAGAAATATTTTTAATATTATACGTAGTGTTTATATGTAGTTAAAACTTACAAAATGCATTCAAAATACGCCATAATCCCAACAATCTTTCTACTTTTTTCCCGTCAATGTTAGTTAGTAAAATAAGCATAATAACATTCTTGTATAACAAAAATTAAATGAAACTAGTGTTTAAGAATTCAATTCAACAGAGGACAATTTTCAAAAAAGGATAAAGTACCTAAAAACGCATTTCGATCCGGATGAAAAATGTTACAATGAAAATAAGCATATAGTAGTGTGAATAACATATAGAGTGAGTATCAGTAATCTTATCAGCAGTAAAATATAAAAGAAATCACATGGTCATGCTATAAGTTATATATGCACAATTTAATCGAAAGTAAATATTAAGAAGAGCATACAGGATGTAAAAACTTTGTAAAAGCATAGATCCAACATAAAAGAGTATATATTGAAGAAGACGCCGCTAATGAAACCTAATTCACTATTCACAAAATGTATTATGAAGTCGACAGTTATCAAGGAAATAGACCAATTTATGTATTGAACCCACACAATACTATTTAAACGAAATAAAAGTAGAACGAAGAGCAACTATTAGTATTTCTCATGGAGTGAATAAGCGAAGCATTTCATTCATAGAAGCAAAAAACCATAAACTAATAGAGATATGAAGAATAAAAGAGAAGTCATAACAGCGAAGAATACAGGCGAAAGAGAATAAGAAGAGAGAACTGAATTTACATGAAAGTAATGAGAACAAAAGTGGAAAGTATTAAAAAGCAACAACAGTAATGAGGAATCTTGGGATAAAACAAAAGTGTAAATATGTTGATTTCCAACAATAAATCAATCATGTTCAGACAAACAGCATATATGAAAAACAAACAAGGTGTAAAGGATATAAATTAACTATATTTTGGGCTAAATAAAAGAAGTTAACTGCTAATTGGATAAACTATATAAACGATAATGATAGCAGTAGGAATGAATAGTTAGGTGTTACATACTCATGATGACACAAACAATCATATTTTCGTGCTGCATAGTCGTGGCTACCAACATAGATATTAATTTATTTGAAAGTTGTATTCACGTAAAGTGTATAAATTTATGCTTTAAAAAAACCACTTCAAAGGAGAACATATGTAAGAAAACGAGAAACCCAGATCACTGGTCAATTCAGAACAATTTGATCACAGTTTTCAAAGTGTTATGCTCATCATCCACACATTCCTCATCATCAACATTATCCATTTCAAAAATCTTAATCTGATCATTCAGTACTGTTGAATCCGATTTAATCTGACTGATATCTTTTGTATCATGTTGTTCATCGTTGTCGTAATAAATATTTGAACTGAAATTGGAATTATTTTCTTCAATTAACTGTATGTCTTGATCTTGAAGTACTAGGTGACTGCTGGATTTACTAGTTCCAAACATTCCATTAATAATCACAGTTTCAGCTGGGCTGGAATCAAAGAACATATTCGAATTACCAACTGGACTACATGCACATTCTTCAGCGGGAACTTTTAGTATTTCATGTGATTTAAGTTGACTAGAATTTGATTGCTCTGACTGAATACATGGCAATGGATTCGACAACCGTGAACTTGTTAAACCAAACGAAGAACAATCATCAATAATTTCACTTTCCAATTGACTCTATAGAAAATAATTAGTACGCAAAACATAAGTACTAAAGCGGGTTATACAGAAAATATAACACCACTAATCATAATGAACATAAAAAGATAGTTGTTTATTATTTTGTGACTATAATCATAAACAGTGAATAACAGAAATTTCTTAAGTATATTGTGAAAATTAAATATTATGAGGTAACGGCAAAACATCTAGTAGATGTTTTAAAATGCCAGTTTGGAAGTTCAAGCACTTGGGTGCGTTGTATGTTTAAACCCTGTTAGACCTAGTTAGTTTTAGTAAGTTGAATAGTAGTAGCGTGGTGCATGCCACTTACGTCTGTCTACAAAAGTAGTATGTAACACAAATCGAAAGTGGAATGCCTAGCAATAAAAGGTTGAGAAGATCGGATTGAAGTGAACGGGAAATGAAGTAACAACAAAGTCTGAAACAATTGGTGGACACTTTGCGAATAAAGTACTGAACGTATGGTAATCATATTTTACCAAATAACTCTGTAACTTTCTATCCAAATGTTATATCTTAATAAGAATAATGAATGGTGATTTTTGGGATCCAATTATGGACCGATATTACGAGTATATTTTTATGGTATAATTGTTACGTAACTAATCTGTTCATATCCATGTCCCTCTTATTATGAGTTTTATTTTGACCTATGAACTATTATTATACGATTTACCATTCTTGAGTTATGGCCTATCTATTGATTGCTATCTCCTTCATTCACAGCCACATCTGGCTAATTATTGTACAAATGTTGTTTCATATTTTATTGGTACGTTGTGGTCTGTTTGATCGGTATATAAACTCGGTATGTTTGAAATATAATGATTCATAATGCAAAGGCTAAGATTGGCGTTCTTGACTTAACTGGCTGGGCTAGGCGGAAGCAGGGTCAATCAGAACTCTAGGCCGCTCGCACGTGTTTTACGTGTCCCTGGTCCGATCGACAATTCGCAGCTCTCCAATCGCGCGTCCCACAAGATATAACACCAAATACATTTGGTTGTTTCCACTTGTGTTCTCATTCATTACAGTAGTAGAAGTAGTAGCCATTAAACAACAAAATTATAACTTGAAATTCAGGTATATTGTTCTGTACCTGGTAAGTAGTAAGAGTAGATTATGTATATTACTTAGGCAGTAATCATCACCAAATATCGAAAACTCTATTCCGAATAGAATTGAGATAGTTTACAGTAATACGGATAAACTTCAAAAGCAGAAACTAATGAGAACAGGTGCATATTAACTGACCGGATCCAGAGTAGGAAAGAACGGATTAGTTTTTTTGGCACTTCTGCTTACTTAACTTTATTTCAGAATCCCAGGAATCACCCAATATCATACATTTGAATCATGTAAGTATAAGTCAACAAGATTAACACAGCAAATATATGGTATTATAAACACAAATTTAGACGGAATCACGTAATTATGGTACTGATTTCGCGACAAACTGAGCAATTTAAAACGTTAGTTGATAAATGTTTGACCAACTTACTAATCAGTTATGTGACGCAATGAACATCGGAATGTACCAGAAAATCGAATAATTCTACCTTAAGTTAGTTCATTTATTAAATGAGTAACTGTATGTAACAAGTCAATTATAACTAATACATGAATATTCATCAATCAGAAACCCAGTGAAAAGAATAGTACTACCAAATCATTCATTGTGCACTAGTAAATTTAAATGATATGTCGGATGATGAGAGTTCGTATCTAAGCCAGAGGCTGATGCGGTTTCATGTTAAAAAACAACATTTTCCCATTAAATGGTACAAATTATCAAAGGTATTTAATTAACTGACGTTATAATGCATAAATAGCAGTAGTCGCATCACTTATTTAAGTAATCATTGTAAATCAATTGATCGGCAAAATCGGATATGAAATACGAACAAAATTATTAGATTGTTTAACAATATATACGAAAATAACTCACTTGAGTATCTCCACTACCAGCCGTAGTTGCTGATATTGTTAATAATTCTGGTATAGCTAAAGGTAAACGCAATGGACGTGAAGCAGTCGGATTGCTGATGTCATTTAAAATGTCTTGTTCCTGTGTAGTTATATTAAGCAAATTATCAACTAATTCAGAATGATGTACACTGCTTGACATGGATAGGATATCTTCAGTCTCATCTAAATCATCTGTTGTAGCAGCATCTTCAGTGCCGTATAAACTAGGTGTTGGTGTACCACCTGAAAAATCTTTATCATCGTGATTATTCGTTGGAATCTCAAGACCAGACCAGAAACATTTTGAATTTCGATAGCTATAAGCATTTAGTAAGTTATTATCCTTAATAACAGTGATCTGATTGTCATAATTATTATTACTTTTCTTAGCCATTTCGTTCATAGGAATAAAATATTGTTGTGAATGTGCAAAATCATAGATTCCTTCATGTGATGAGTGATTTTTTGACCAGTTTGGCTGAAAATGCAACGACTGATTCATAACATTATTAATACAATCATTATTACTAATATTAGTAAAATGAGGGTTGGTAAAACTAACATTTACATTAGAATACCATCTATGATGAGCGGTTGAATCAGGATGATGTATCAGTCCACTAGTAGAGATCGGTGACTTAAGAAATTGTTGGGAGTGTTTTGGTTGTTTAAAATAAGGCAAAATATCATTTGATGCATTATTCATGGTATCTAACGACATACTATTCATATTGGAACCATTATTTCTACGTAAACAACCGTACTGTCCATCAGATTTATGAGATGAAGAATCCAAATAACCAGTTAAATCACTCACGACAATGTTTTCATGAGCATGAATTTTTTTAATTAGCTTCATTTGTGCTTTTGGTCGAGTGATTTGATGGATCAGTTTATGAATCAACGGATGATTCATATCGAGTACAGTGTTTTCACGATCTCTGGTTAAACATACAAAATCAAAAAAGAATTAATGTTTGTTTCAAAAACAGACAACTTATAAAGTGTAAAACACTTAGTTAATCTGTGGATACAATCAGTGTAAAAAAAGATATTCTCAACTGATGGTAACAAACATAAACGACAATTTGGTGAGTATTGTTACTAAAATCAGACTAACTATTAGAGTTTATCCGAAAATAATATAAAACTAATGAGTAATTGGTAAAATATCATTCAAGTTATTGTAGTATAACAATTATTAATTAGAGTTGTATAATTTTACATCCATTTAGTTATGAGTTAAAGTCTGGTCATTTATGGACTGAGCTACGCAGTCGCCTAAGCACGGGATTACTAATAACCAAACCAATGGTTTCATCACAAGGGATAGTATTGTTTGATTAACATTGGTATTTAAATTTGTACTGGAGTGCACTTCGGCAAAAAACTCTTAGAGTCGACATTTAAAGCAATTTTGGCAACAGTTATCAGTATTTACAATTTGTCATTCCACTAAAACATGAAAAAGAACATAAATATTGGAATATATAAGCTAAGTAACACACTAGGATACATTACAGTTTGGAGCACAAAACATTATCCACAAATGATAAGATTCTTTGTATATCCACTTACTGTGACACGCTAGGGAAGGGTAAAGTGAGTAGGTAATAGACCTATAGAAAAAACCTAGATGGCATCAAAAATTAAGGTAGTCATTTTTAAAAAGCATCTTATATAAAATACAGCAAAAGAAGTTTGTACAATAAGTCTGATTATACCAACAATCACTTTTAATACAGTGGGACAAAAAAGTGCATTATATATTTATCATTCCATTTACTGTTTAGGAAAAATAATGATAATATTCAAGATATGAGCGAAAATTCTTGCTTATATTGTTTAATAAAGCGCGGGCTAGACAACTATGAAGAAATTTACACGAACATCTTTTTTAAATAAAGATATTCAAAACAGAAAAAAAAATTTTTTTAGTTCAGTTCAACTAATGGACTTCCCTAACCAGTTAACAATGTTTTTTGTTTCCATGTAAGTATACATACCCCCCACCTTATTTGTACATACAGATAATAGTTCAGTTTCTTTTGACATTAGAACTACATCCTGTAGGTAGATGTTGTACAAATATGCTGAAGAAACCGTTAAAAAAATTGGTCTACATTCGTTAGTGAATCAAATCATTTATGTGTATTTTGTAAAAGTAAACTATGGCCTTTGACAATATGTATTTAAAGCTGAAATCGTAAGTCAAATACTTCTTACAAACCAACTAAAACTATTTGGAACACTAAACATTCTTTCAAAATATTAACTAAATTTCTGTGGTTCAATCAATGATGGATTTTTTTCCGTAATAGATTTTATGAAGCAAAATTGCTGTTGGACAATTTCCTGTAAATAACAATCAACAAAACTAGATGTCTGGATAACTTGGAGAAACGAGTTCATCAGGAAGGCAAACTACAATTACCAAAAGCAACAACTATACTGTTGTTTTTGCTTCATTTAACAACTATGATTCAGTGTATGAAAATAAGGACAAAATGTTATAAGATATGAAAAACTCAGTATCAAACAGGTAATAAAATACATGAATCAAACATTGCTATAAAAACTTAACTACATACTGTAATACGTATAGAAAACATAGAAAATACAAACTGTTGAGTTAGTAAAAATAATTGTATTAAGAAAACATATTATTGAGGATAACTTCAAATTTCTCCTAGGCGTGAGCTTTGCAAATATGGTTGTCAAGTATATATGTTAATATAATTGAATGGCAATTATTGTGGTATGCAGGTAAAATTTAATAAACGCATAACTGAATGGCAGAAAACCGATTTTTATTTCTTCTAAAATTATTTGTATTAAAATTTTCCAGACATTTCTTCTGACTAATATTTTGAAATATTAACCTTTCGGATGATAATAATTATCTAAATAAATATTCTCAGTATACTGGGATAATGAAAATACAGATTGATTACAAACGAAGAAAATATGAAGGGGTTGCATATAATGATATATATATATATATATATATATATATATATATATATATATATATTGCTTTGTAAAGTAGATATGTAACTTCACATTTAAAGTGAGCTAAAATGTAAGCTTTTTTCAGTTTACATAACACATATAAAACATTCCAAGAGGGTATTTAATAAAACAAAATATGAAGTAAATCAATCAGAAAGGTCTGAATTAATGAACAGTCGACTGAAAAGTAAACTGATGGGCTGAGAAAAATTCCGAAAAATCCGTAAAGCATCTATACATGAAACCTACGATTTATTTACTCTAAAGACATTTACGATGAATATACTCAATTGCCTTTCATACCTTTTGACTTGTTTATTATTTAAAAATTACGGATCAGTAAGATATTAGAAACGGATTAAGCAGTGTTGGAACCGATCTGTCTACCAAATATTAATAGATAAATAAATTTGATTTATCCACATTTTAGTAGTATCCTGGTCACCTTAGAAATCAGACTTCACAAAAAGCAAAGCGAACAAGACAAAATAATAAATGAAAGACTAGTGAAGCACAAGGTCGCTGATAAAATAAGGGTTTTATCTATAATGTATAGCAAATAGTTTATCTGTCAGTACTATACAGAATAACTCGTATGCCATATAAAATTTTGCGATAACTTTGAGAAATATTTGCTCTATAAATGTCCCGCTGAATTTAACCATCATTTGATACATTCCGCGCATACTATTATACGATCTTGGCTGAGTTCATTGGTCGATGTGTCATTCGATAGATAATAGGACACCAGTCATACTGGGAACTATAAGTCAGCTAATCAGTAATAACAGTAGAAGGACAAAGAGAACAAATAACTCCTGTTATAATTATAGCCAGTTTATACCAGCCTTAATACAATTCAAGAATACTTGTTCATTTCTGCAAAGAGTACCATAATTTGAGACTAATGAATTTTGCCATGTTTACTAATCTTTCAACAACTAAAAGGAGTGTAAGCTGAAAATGGCAACCACTGAGAATTTTTCGGATTTAAACCACAGAAAATATTGAATATCATTAGATCTTATGTAGAAAATCCATCACTACGAATCTATATTCGTAAACAACACGTAAACTTCAAAGTGAATACACGTAACCGAAAGTAAAAATATGAATACAAAGTACCTTGAATGCATTAGCAGTGTGATGATACATGGATGATAAACTCGTGCCATATGCTGAATAACGTTCTGAAATGCAAAAATAGACTTGTCAATATTAGACATAGTAGCCGCATTTTTTGTGGACAAATGGTCACAGCAATAACACCATTCATTTTCTTCATTTTCAAACCTTAACAAAGAACGAATTTTATCATGTAATTCCCGGTTTTCATCTTTATCGCATGCATTGGTACTAACATCGTCCACATTAGTAACATTGTCGCCTGAAGTGAATATTGTCCAACTGGATAACAGACGTTTAGCCGCTGAATACTTATGATGATGAGACTGTATGGCTCCCTTGTGTTGCATTAATGGATCAGAATCTAAGGAGTTTATTTCATCAAACGATTGATCAGACCATGTTTCAGCTAGATGTTTATGAAAATCACTCTCCAAATAGGTTTTTGTTAATGAGATACAAGAACACTGACTTGATGTGTTATGATTGCGAGTACATTTCTCAAAAGATGGGACGTTTTGTTTAGAACAAGATCTAAGGATCCCATTTATATCAACATGAAAAAGAAAAAAAATTCAGGTCAAAGCTAAATCATGATGACAACTAACAAATATATCATGGAAAAATTTATGTATTATTTAAAAAAAAAGTGAATGTCCAGTAATCTTATCAGTTACATAACAAAGATTGTATGCTAATGAGAAATAAATTCAAGTTAGTCATTTAATTGGAAAAGTCCCATGAATATGAACATTTTCTTATTCATTCATTGTAAATTTGATAGTCGGGCAAGTGTTTGTTACCAAAATATCAAAATTATTTAAAAGCAATATTGATTTTAACTCGAACGGATATCAGATATTTTTTTTTGGATCATTAATGAACATATAAAACCTCTAGAATTTTCAGCCCTCTTCTGAAATCCATATTCGTTAGTAAGTAAGCAGTAATACATGAGAACTCATCATGTTGTCAAGTTTATTTTAATTTAGGAAAGAGAGAGTAACCATGTGATTTTATTTCAGGTCTTGGACAAAAAAAAATATCCTTAAACGTTCAGGCAATCGAATTCCAATACTGTGAAGTAAGGATTAAAAAATAAGCGAAAGTTAGGGCAAAAAAAGGAAAAGAATTACAACCATTTGGAGATTATTGAAATTATATCAGTTTGAAAAATTGTAATCTACACAATAAATTAAAACATGATCTATTGGCACGCAAAATCTTTGTAAATATTAATTTAATTTTTATGTTGAAGGTTATTTTAAAAGATATTCGTTATTCATTATCACTGAATGACCTTCAGCTTATTTTCTTGATTAAATGACCTTAATTCATTTTTATATGACGTTTTGAAAAATTAATGTTTGATCATTACTTTTCTATACCAAATGTTTAGAGTGAAGTTTGAGTTAATATTAAAACTTTACTCTCTCTCTCTCTCTACAAATAATGAATATGTTTAGATCAAATAATAAAACTGGTTTAGCCTGTCATTTGTTTCCTACCTCCAATAAAAACTAGTTTACGTACTGATCTCACAACAATACTACTTATCAATCAGTTTGTAATTTTAATAGACAAGTATTTTAATAAATATGCAAATACTCGATTACAGGTCGTAGAAAAGCTGTAAACGGTTGTAGTGAGTTAAATAGATGCAATCTTCTTCAATATTATTCTGGTCTATGCTTGTCCAACTAGATCACAAGGTATATCATCAGTTAATTAAGACCTATCACTAAATGAGATTAAAAAGAAAATTTGGTTGAGCTCGTGAATGACTTGATCATTAGTCAAAATTGCGGAAATTCAAAATACTAAAGACTATTTATCATAGGAATGACGCTTATTTCTAAAAGGACACCAATTTTGTTAGCGGTTAATAACATGACCTATAAGTGCGACATTTGTTGTGAATACATTAAATTGAGAACTGATAAGAATCAGAAACAAGATATAATATATTGAGACGAACAATTAGTTCAAAAATCATATATAAAAAATTTCATTGTTTTACATCATTATCATAAGGCGATATCCCATAAAAAGCATTCATTCCGCACTAGTAATCCAGTTTCACCACCCCACCTATGATAACTATTCTAAACATATTACTTACTGCTTCCTGCACTGGAATGTTGAAAATATGTAAAGTAAATGAGTGTGATACAACTTCAGGTATTTTTCACATCATTAACGGAGTGGGAATATAAGCAATATGAAAATAAATACGGTAACCTTACTTCAGAGGAGATGGAAGAGTTCGAACTGTTCTTGGTGCAAAAACTGATAGAGGAAAATTTGGTAAATCAATGTGAATAAGAGACATCGGATCAATTATTGAAGGCTTCATCAGATTAGGTTCATATCCTCCTGAATGCACAGTGCTGTGTACAATTGGCGAAACGTAAACACTATTTGGATCACAAGATGTTTCAGTAACTGAATTATAAGAATCGACTGGGAAATTTGAACTTGGAACCACATTATTACAATTACTTATATTATTGTCACTATGATCCTGCTTGCTTGAAACAGCTATGACTGTACAACGTTGTGATAATCTTTCCCGTTTAGAAGCGCAACTATCACTTCCTAACGAAAGAGATTCATCTTCATTATCTAATTCAATGAGATCACAGGATTCTTCTTCCAAATGGTCAACAGATTCTACAGTAACTGATTGAACCCCGTTTCCATATACTGAATGCGCTGAAGAACTACAAATTTGTTTGCTTAAATTCGAAAGTATTAATTCACGAAATCGTTGACCAAGACTGGCATCACGAGTCTAGACACAGTAGAAGAAAAATAAAAACAAAAAAACTAAGGACTGTGGTACACATATTTTAATTGATCAGTTTCTAACCTTTTCATCCATATTAAGATCATAACAACAGAAGAAACACAAACCCTTATAGATAATAATAATAATAAGTGAATTGGTAAATAACATCGTATGGTTTCATTTATACGTTTTAGATAAAACACAATACAAATCTCGATATCACAATTAGAAGACGGAATTGATCTGAAAACTGTGATGTATTTGCGCTATGCATTTTGAAAGATTTGGTCACATATATTTGAAAATTACTAAAACGTCAATTAAGTGAAAGGTCAAGTAAACAAAATGAGGAGTCCCATACTGGCACGAAACGGCCGTCCAGTGCTTTCAGGTTTTCAATGGTGCTCTATCTTAGATCGACTCATGAATTCAACTGTTAAAAGTGATTACAATAAATAAAGGAGAGAGAAAATTAACATAGTATGGAAAGATTAGGGAAGAGCAACCGGTAATTACTTTCTTTCTCATAGATCATAACGATATTATTCTATGTAATAAATTGGGCAATATCGAAATCCCTAACATGACCAACATGTCATCCACATATATCTTATACAGAGTTGCCTCGTTGATGAGCGTTCTGCTTAAACATAAGGTTAAACAAAATTGAAGGTATTAATATATATATATATATATATATATATATATATATATATATGACAGACTATGAAAACTTATGTTAAACACATGTATCTTGACATTATTTGTATAAGGAAGAGTGGGAAAAAATCATTATTACCTGTAATGGGATGGTTATGTTCTTTTCTGTAATACAGCAGAAAATCTGTTCACCAAATGCATTTCTTAGCAAATAACTGCATAGACCTAAGCGAACAAATTAAAAAAACCGCAGAAGTCCACAATCAGTTTATACGTTTCGATAAACAGAACAGTATTATTTTGTTTTTAATTTGTTTAATGATCATTACAATACATAACTCGTGTTTCGTTGAGAAGTCTGTACATAAATTTGAAAATGGTTATAATACAAAAAGTCACTAACGAATGTCTTAGATATTAAATAGTATTCTAAAAGGCTACTGAGTCTCCACAGGTATTCAAGGAATGCGGAGCAGAAGTTGACACATTTCGTAATTTACCAGATCAAACAATATAACTCAGTCAGATATCTATTCGCTTGTAGTCAAACTTAATTTCACGTCGATTAAGTAACTTATTAATGTTCGAAGAAGATATTTCGTACGCAAAATATAGTTTACTCTAACTATTCGTGGAGGGACATTTGAAAATCACTAGGAGACTAATACCTACTAACTATTCAAAAACATGAAGCAGGAAATAGAGGAAACAAAACGTTTTGTTGGTACTTTTACCTGGATCGATAGAAAAATGGCAAGAGAATCAGTATTGAGAAGAGTCAAGGTATGAACCATTTTCCAGATAAAAAAAGGTCTACAAAGTTGCTGGATGAAAGTGAGTAGTATAATAACAAATGCCAATCCGTATGAATATTTTGTCTACAGATCAGCTAAAACATATTTTCAACTAGTCGGTTATTTTCAATGTAAGACCAATACATCAGTTCAGGCATAAAACAATTACCTCGTGGATAGCGACTTAACGTAATGACCATACTACTAAAAGAATAAAATGTATATGTCCTAGAATCTAACAGGGTAAGATAAGATTAATAAATCACATTCATATTTGATTTGAGTGTCCAATAATATAAATGTTCCACCAACGGAATAAGTAATAGCCGATGGCACTTCCAGTCCTGTCACTGTTGAACGATTATTGGACACATTTAAAAGGGAAGCTTCTAAAAACCGAATAGTGATGCCTTTTGGATTTTGTTCACTAATTCTCTTTGATTAGCATAAAATGCCTCAAATAATGATTTTCAAAACTAATTCCCAGTAATAACTGTAGACAATACATATATAAACTTTAATGTGATAACAACTAACCAGTGAAATCATTATCATCAAGCTGAAATTCCGACCACCAATCATCAATACGTCGTTCCAATAAATGAATACGAGGCAGAATCCGCAATTCATAGAAACATTTAGTTAACTCTGAGCCTAAATCAAGAGTTAACTGAATAGTGGAAGCGAAAAAAAAGGAAAACTATTAGAATCACTCCGCAGTATTAAATTATTAGAAAAGATACAACAAAATTAATGTTGTACACTGATGCATCGTGAAATAAAATTGTGTTTTAATACTGTCAGTAATTCCGAGTGATGACTGCAACCACTATGGTTGAAAAATATTGGCGAGACTATAGTTTATGGACGGACCAATCATATATAAAATAACAGGTGTTGAATTTTAGTGTGAAATTCATTCATCCATTTGGCTAAATAGCGTTTGTGATAAAGACTCTAAATTTAGTTTCTAACCCTAACCATCAACTGTAAAGCACAATTATAATTCCTCGCACTGCTTTATAACCCTCATTTAGTCCTAGTAAATGGATATTCACAAGGTCATTTTCGAGTCGCTCAAAGGTCGTCCATAAATTATGGTCTCACCAAAATATTTACTGATGGCTCATTTATACAATGATCCATGCTACCTAAATTGGAATCTGATTATCTGCTAAGACCTATTATCTGTATATCGTACGCGCGGATACTACTTCAAATACCTACAACTATGTTCTTAAACGACTGCTTAATCAAATTTAATATTTAAAAAATCACATAGGGCCTAATATTGTCATGCTTCAATTTTATAAATTAAAATGAGAATTCACCTTCAGTAGTGTCTTGAGAGATGATCAAACAAAATAACAGGAAAATGAGCGTAATCATGGATCAAATAATTAATAATGATTGCTACGGCAATTAAGATTACATTAAAGTTTACTAAACTAGTACATTTGTTGTTTAAGTGACAAACGCATATTCATTAGATATCAATTTCACATAGATGATGGTAGTTTGACAGTTAATTAAACAGTTAAAAAACCTAATAGGTTAAACAAATAAAATAATTAGTTTTACTGAACTGACTTCATTTTTGGAAAACTCTATTTATTATCTCTATCAACACAAATATAAGTTTTTTACATCCAATTTATGATACAACATGAACAGAGATGGAAAATAGATAAAGGAATGTTTTAAGCATGACAAATCAATGTTCAAAATAGATTAGGGAGTGATGAACTATGAAAACTTAGTGAGACATCAATTCCCTGACATTTAGTTCGTAGGACATCTGTGTAACATAAATGACATGGAACGTTTTATGCAAACAGAAATATAATAAAGCATTTTGTACATCACAAACGCAAAGCTGGGTTATAACCTTTTACTAGCAAGTAGTAATAACATGTAAGAAAATGAGAACCAGGGTGTTATACACATTATATTTGGATTGAAGACATTAGGCATAACCCATAGTATATGAGTAGTAAATTGAGCGACTATATGAGCAGGCAAGTAAGAGAAAATGAAGTTTTTCTTCAGAATTAGAAAGAAAGCAAGTATTTTTTTCTTCGCGGTTGACACTGTTCATCGTAAACATTCCTTGTGAATCGATAATTTTACTGAGTACTTAAATACTATTCAAATAGGTTCATAGAAAATGTTTCAAACACTGTTAACTCTAGCTACTTTTTCATCGGGACGATTTGTAGCCCCATTATTTACAACATATCCTCCTTTTCCGTTACTAGTTCATTTCAGCTTTGCGAAAGGTATTCATAATGTAAGCCATTAGTTTGGGTTCTGTTATACATATGTCATATGGTTTTCATAAAACTTTATAAGTTATAATTAATTTATGGAAAGCTTAGATTTATTGGATAGGCAAATATGTGAGAAATATATCGTCGGAGCTAGCTTAAAGAATTAAAAACGCAAACGCTTTTGGGTAGATAGTAGATAAAGAAGTCACAATATCATGTTTCGTATTAAAAAAAGTGAATACTGTTTATTTCACTGACACTGATTATGAGTTATGTTAGTCAATATCTAAAAGAACATAGAAACCAAAACCAGGGAAACTCATGGTGGAATTTTATTAAAATTTTTATGTTAATAATATAGAGCTCACTAATAAATGCGATAGGGAGTCATATGTTCTGATTCGAAAAATTACTATCAGGTAGATACGAAAAGTAAATAAGCTAATATCAAAAATTATATAACTTGCTTTTAAATTTCGATCAGATAACTTTATTCGCCGAAAGAATTTCGACTTGGATTGAACTTCAAGAGCTTTGGCACGCCTATAACCATTAAGCAAACAAACAGGTAAGAAAAATATTATTAAAATTTTATGTAAACATATTATATTTATTTTAGTTTGGACAATAAATTCATTTTCTATACGGGGTAATATTGTAAACATTGAGTATTTACATTTTAATTAGTATTCAGGAAATGATTACAAAATGAAATTATTTTGCTGCTTAAATACACATAGTGTTAGCTATATTCCTTTGTATGTCTTCATTCAGAGGAAAAATAATCAAAAGAGTTCAAAACCGGAATAAATGCATTTATCGTCAGTATTTGAAAGGGCATTTAAACAATTTTAATATATTTTCTTTAGTTGCCATCCAATTCAATGGTTTTAAATATATTTTATTCACATGTGAATATTCTATGATGATTTTATTCAAGCCAATTTGTATTCAGTACAATTGAAATCTCATTACCATTATGATTTCTGAATAGTTACAGATACAAAAAAATTATCATAACTCTTTTTCATTGTTCAATTAATGTGTTTTTATCATAATCACTAATGTAAAACTTAAAATAATGAATTTTAAATTATTTGTAATAACTTCATCTCGCTGATTAAAAATGTATACTGCAGTAAAGAAGTGTAACAATAATAATAATAATAATAATAATAATAATAATATAATGTAATATATTATTATTACTTCCATTATTATTATTAATTTGTGCTTATTTTTTCGCATTTTTGGAACTGTTTCTTAGTTACAATCAGGTATAAGGGATGCCTACATTATAGTTTATAATTAATGTAGACATTGATGAATAATTAAATAAGATGTTGAGATGATCAATAAGAGATAGCTACCACAGGTTAAACAATAACCTAGCACATTGTACAGAGTTATGGAGAAACAACAAAAGAGATTTCTTGCAAAACGAAAAAAAAAAGAACAAATAGCCAACAATCTGTTCCTCCTATCTAATTTAAGTTGATTTACATCTAAACGAAACAATTCAACTGTTCACTATCTGATTACTAATAAAAAATGTTATATAATTAACGAGGAAAAGATTAGCTTACCTATTATAACTCTTTTCTATTAGGTTGAGCCAACATCGAGTTTTGGTATTTAATGTATCGGCGACAGTGTTGTCCGATAACACAGATATAGGTAGGGAAGATAATGATTGTAAAAAATCGCTAACGTAAAAAATAGATCACATTGAAATAATGTTATTTAAATTATATGTGGATACAAGTAAGAAATATAGAATAAAAAAAATTGAATGAAAAATTTGTGATCATACGAATGGATGATAAACTACTGAACTTGATAATTGTAAGAAAGCTAATGATAATAACAAACAAGAGACTAATTATGCGATTCCTACTGATTCCTATTACAGTGTTTTTCACCAGACCACCAGTGCCTTGAAAACAGCTCTATACTACTGGTCACGGTTGTTTTCAGAATATTGATGTTACTCAATGAGTTATAAGAATTATTAGAATTGGTGACAATCCAAGTGTTGTGTATAGTGTCAAGGAATCTTACATTATAATCTACATGATTACATGTAACGTGTTTTTGATGTAATTTTAATATATGCATTTTTTACATTCCCAATAATGTACAGTTTAATAGCATGAAGCACCTGTTCACATTTACTTATAAAGAAAGGTGAACAATTGAACAAATATCTGAAATTATGAGATCTTGAAGAAACTGATTGACAGACAAATAGTTGTAGAACACTTCATGACAGGTTCACTTGATCACAAGATATCAAATAATATTTTTTTTACCTCAAAGGTGAAAATTATTGTACCAATATGATGTGCACAGTGTCCATTTTTAAGGTTAAATGTGGGCGAAAATCTATGCGAAATCTAATTCTTTGATATGTTATAATTTATGCATCTGATAAGAGTTCAGTATTAATTTTGATGGCATAAAAATTTATGCATATTATTATAAACAATAAAGATGAAATACATATGATTACTGTGATTATTTATAATCAACCAATAGTTTAAAAAAATGGTGTTGAAATGTTATTAATACTACTTAAGTACTTAATACCTACCTTAATATAAGAAAGTCTATATTATTGTACATAGTATAACAGACAAATGCTTCGTTAGAATTACTAACAGATTAATAAAGTTTAGCATCGATTTCAACCCTAAAGGTCACATCCTACGAACTTCAATGAAAACAACTTGTATAAGTATCCTGAATAACTCCTTTGGGAAATAAATTTTTATGGCTAACCTCGAAAGAAGCAAGCTCAAAGAAGCGATTGATGAAATGATGTATTATTCGAGGTATGTTGATGATACCTTCATCGTATGTAATAATTAACAACATGCAACAAATCTGCTAAAATTTTTCAATGAAGCTCATTCAAATATTCATTTCACTATGGAACATGAAAAAGAAAACAAGTTCCATTTTCTCGATATCGCGATGAAACTAAGAAAGGATGGTACAGTTCAACACTCAGTTTATAAGAAAGACACATGAAATAAGATTTATCTCAATTTCAGCAGCTTTTGTACAATCAATTATAAAAAGGCACTTGGCAAAACATTGTTTCACAGAACAGAAAGAATATGTACTGTCGATACAATAGAAGAGGAAGTTATGAACGTTAAAACAGCATGTTCTTCGACACAATCAAAGGTCGACAGGTATCCCTTTCATGTTACCACCAACTGTGTATACAAATTTAAATGTATCTGCCAAAGTAGTTATATTGGTAGAACAGAAATGAGAGCCTACGTCCAGTTCAAAGAACATATTCCGAAGGGTTTGAGATCAAACGGACTAAAAGCATTCAGCAGCGCTATCGCAAGACATCTCCTTGACACAGGACACGAAGTCGATACAATGAAGTCCTTCAAGGTGATTAACAAACAATCAAACACAAACCTTTTGAAATTTGCCGAAGTGATAGCAATCAAACATCCAAAACCAGATTTTTGTATACAAAAAGAAACAGTAATAAATCTTTCTTTGCTCTGGTAACATAACCCCCCCCTTTTATTTATTTATTAAGTTATCCCAACTCTTTCTGAATTTTAAAATTACATCATACATAACTGAACAATTTCAATTCATATCCCTCTTTATTACCATTATTCTGTTTTCAGTTACTTCTTTACACAATCATCTAATATTTGTTAACTTCATGCATTCTAATCACTAATTCAATGTTCTGGAACTTTCCCTCTCAAACTTTACTTATCCGAAACAACATTTTTATGATCTTATTAACTTAATTGAAATCTTCGCTACATCATTATACATATATTCATCTTCAATCACCCCCTTATGTATAAGTATGGCAATATCTGTAAGAACGTTGGTTTTAAAATACTATAGGTTGTAAGCAGCTGATCAGAACCTAACGAAATAAAATGAATTCATATTATTCTGCACCAATCTTTGTTTTTGCTCTCTTTAAAATAAATTTATACAAACAATGAGACAGAGTAAGTCAGTCAATGATTATTTATACCAGAGGCTAACGATGATATCTAAATTTAAGCAAGATAAAAAGTTATTTTAGCTTAATACACTAACGGTGACGTTATTTATAAATACTTCCAGGAAGTGATAACCACCTTCATACCTCTAACAGCACTCAAGACCACAGTATTTATAATCAATCTCCCTCTGCAATTCCTATTATTCCTCCTTCATCGACTTTCAACTTTCAAATTCCTTCTTTGGCTCTCTCCTCAAGTGCCACCACGGCCAACGATCCTAGTGCTTTCGAAGATCATCACATATTAATGTACTCTTCGGTTTATATGTTCCGAGTTATATATATTAGATATCGTTGCAACGATGAAATTTCCAAACATAAGTCGTCCAGACTACGCATCTCGAACAAATGTCATGGATAGCTTGTTTCAATTATACACACATGAACTGAACGTCCAAAACGCTGTTCAGATAGTCCAACTAGTCCTTTGAGTAGTAAAAATCAGTTTAATAGGATTATTACCGGACCAGATATTCAGTGTGAAAGAAAACAAAGTAGTTCATGACATTAAATAGTTGATAACTGATTGATGTAACAAAAAATAAAAACTACGATATTCTCAGAAGGAACAAATGTGTTTATATAAGAGACTAGGATCAAATAAATCGCTTTACTTCCTGAGAATCAAAATCTTTGTTCTGTTATAAGCACTAGCTTATACAAAACCTTTTCTGAAATAAGTACGAGATATAATGACGACTATGATTCATTTTTGGCAAAAGACAAAGATATCACTAATAACTCTAAAAACTAATAAGGAAAGCATACGACAAAAAACTTTTTTCTCATTAGAACTATACGACAAACCTGAAGTAGTAAACAAAATGCGCGAAGGACTACGCTCAATCATGCAAACAAAAGGGCTTATTATTAACGAACGCTTCGTATAAATGAGAACATCATATCACACCTCAAAAGAGGTACCCTTCATAGAAAATCTAAACAAGTGTGCGAATCCCTCCAGTGTAAAGTTCAGAAGAAAAACACCTACAATAAAGTCATTTCACAACGAATGCTTAAGGTAAAAAAAACGATCATACCAATAACTAATATGCGAAACTTTTTAATTTTGTCCAATTAGCAATCGATAATTAATCGGATATATATATATATATATATATATATATATATATATTTCGAGAGAGAAAGCGTACTGGAAATTGTTTACTTGTGGTTATAAAAATCAACAAAATTAGGTTCACAAGCGGAAGGTAAGGGAGCAAATAAACATGTAACAACAACAATGGATAGAAGATGAATAAGTCCATTTGAAGAAAATAAAGCTAAAGAGTTTATGATTCAATTGAAAAATAGTGAGAAAGATTTCTCGTGAAAAAAGAAACAACGGAACTCTTGATCAACTCTATGTGACAACAACTCTCTTGATAAACGAGAATAATAAATGATGAACGTGGACAACCAAAGAGCATAATAGTTATTTAATTACTTATCCGTAGAACCATTCTAGCAATAGAAGTCAAAATTAAAAAAAATCAATGTCAGAAAAATGGAAACGTTACTGTTAAAAATGCAAAACGTCACCATAATTTGCAATAATCGGAAATAATAAATTCTATGGATAAATTTGTTACACTTAATTTTATTAATAAGTTACGAAGAATAAGTTTACATGTAACTTAATTACTAAGCAAATGTAAATGTCTCGAAAATCTGCACTCCAATCTATAGTAAATTGTTTGTTCTATTCAAAAATAACTTTTAACTGTGTAAATGTATCAAATTGGTGGTGAAAAAAGACATGTAAATGCTGGGAAATGAACTTAAGAGTTTTGTCTTGGCGAAAACAACAATGAAATCCTAGAAGTGACTTTCACAACCTCGTGTGATTTTCATCTATGAATGTGAATCCTAAAAATGTAGATCGACGCAAAATTATGTATGCAAAAATGGATGGCGGCTAACAGTGGAATCCAGGACGCATGATTCGTCCTATTTAGGACTCTTCAGCTGGATGGATCTGATAGCTACCATCCATCTTTGCTTAAAATGCTTATGACAATATCGAGGTAATGCGCATAGCATGCACTTCTAAACACCGATGGGAAGATTCGAACAAATAATTAAAAAAATATTGTGCATGATTTCTAAAAATTAACGTCTAAATATGTTTGTTAAATGCAGTTTACTAACAGGCAATCTGTTGAGTTATTCATGAATTAACTTGTCCAAATAACAAAGTGGTTTGAAATGCCTATAAAAACGTGTAAACGTTCTTTGGATAGATACACTATCCTATCGTGAATGACGTGTTATCACCATTAGGATAGCGGAGACAATTATAAAAAAAACTTTGAAAAGTACTTTCCCTGGATTCAATAGACATATATTCTCAATATTACATCATCGACTTTTGTTAATTTAAAATTTTCTGAATTGTAGACTATTACTTGGCTCATCAATCGTAGTTATATAACCTTGCTTACTAACTTACACCTGTTACCCCTTATGGAGGAGCATAGGCCGTCAACCACGATTCTTCAATCACATTTGTCCTTGACTCTTCCTTTAAATTGTTGCCAAGGTCTATTCATTCTTTTGATGTCCGCCTCCAATTCAGCTCCGTACGGTAGAACTATTTTGACATTCGTATTCAGGAGTCTGACTTTGATGTTGACTGACAGTTGTTTTGAGCTCCATATGTTTCCTTGAACTGTAGGAATGCAGTCCTTACTTTGTCAATCTTTGCCTTTATGTCTGCATCAGATACTCCTTGTTCATCAATGATGCTGTCCAGTTACGTGGAAGTTTACACTACTACCAGAGCTTCTCCATCGAGTACGATTCAGTTGGTGTTCTTCATGTTGTATTTTAGGATCTTGGTTTTTCCTTTTTGTATATTGAGACTTACTACCGGAGAGGCTGACTTGACCTGCAGTTATTATTGTGTATGGGATCGAAGAGTTACGTCATCTGCAAAATTCTAATAATCTAGCTGCACCCAAGGTTCACATAATATTCCATGCTTACCCTCATAATCCAGTCAACCACCAGAAGCAAGGGAAAGGGTAACAGTAAGTAGTTTTGTCTGACACCACACCACACTTGGAATGCGTCTGTCAGCTGTCTCTATGCACCACTTTCCAATGTAGTCCATCGCATGAATTCCATAAAATATTGACGATCTCCTCAGGTACTCCATAATGTCGAACGAGGTTCCATAAGGTTCACCTTTTTACACTGTCAAACGCTTTCTGATCGCTCAGAAAGTTGATGTAGAGTGACGAGTTCCATTCAACTGATTGCTCAACAATGATCCGTATCGTCACAATTTGGTCAGTGAACGACCGATCGTTACGGAATTCGGTCTGCTGGTCTCGAAGATGGGTATCTAATAAATCTTTTATCTGGTTCAGCAACACACTGTTGAAAACGTTTCCTGATACCGATAGCAGTGTGATGCTTCTGAATTCTTTTTATTTTCGCAGATCTCCTTTCTTTGGTATCTTTATGAGTTATTCTTCTTTCTAATGTGTTGGCAGCACTTATTCCTCCTCCCAAATATTCCTGAATAGAAAGTGGAGCATGTTTGCAGGTGCTTCTATGTCTGACTTCAGTGCTTCACGTGGTATATTGTCATGTCCAGCTACTCACTACTCTTGATTTGTCAAATGCCAATGCTTGGAACCTGTTGTTGAGAGTTATCTTAAATTCACTGAGTTTGTCCGTATCTCGAAGGAAGCATTTATTTTCGTGAGTACAACAGCACAACTCCTGAATCTATCCTTTTCTGTCCAGCTTGGGTTCAATGGATTTCATTGTTTCCGAGAACCGCCAAGTTGTATCTTCTCATTTCCATAGCTATTTAACTGGTCCTCTCGGTCTACTACATTGTCCGAACATTCCATGTTGCTGTGATTATTAGAAAGAATATCGGCCTCCTAACTTCTAAAGAATTTCGTTTTTCACAATGAGGCGTAACAATTCTACTGAATGAAGATCCTTCAACTCCAAGGGCAGAGTTAAGGTGATTTAATTTTCTTATTCTGGTTAGTGATTTTTTGGCAAGGTTGTTTTCTACGGAATGGGGTTGTCGACCTAATGCTCAACGTACCTTCATAAATCACAGAAAATAATTCATAAACCTGATAAATAGTTCTGTATAATAAATATCTCGGTTCTGTACATATTGAGATTCACTGTTTATGCTGCATCATGATCTTATATTCTATGTACATAAAATCATTTAAATTCTAAATTTTGAATAAGGGAAAATAAAAGATGTTTACGTGATCTTTCTGGCTTTCTGATTGGTAGAATGAGAACAGTGATTGGTCACTACGTCAGAGTATATAGTTAGTTGGTGTAAACGGAAAGCTTTATAACACTTATTTATTAAGAAATAGCTTATAAATACACCTTTATTTTTAATTCCAATAAATGTTGACTTAGAAACATCTGAAGATCAAGAAGTCTCGAGTAAAAGTACCTAACTCGGTTTGGTAAAAGACAAATTATAAAATCTCCAAGAGTCAACTAAATCATTTTGGATATAAAATAATCCAAAGTCATGTTAGTATTTAAAGAAAATCCATTGTTCATACAGAATAAATTGTTCTTCAGTTGAACTCCTGGTACAGGAAATAGCTAATCTAACTGAAAAAATTACAACATTCATTAGGAAATGGAAAGACATAGCACTTTTATAACTTAATATTAAAAGTGATTTATCAAAATCTATTAATTCTAACATGCTATTATTAATAATTGATACATAACGCTTACTTGTACACGGTGATAGGCTTTTTAGCCATAGATTCCATTTGGCTTCTCCATAAATTCAGTTCCAAATGTTCTAATTGCACAGTAAGTATAATCAAAATGTCTTCAGGTCGAGCCTGGACAAATAATCAATCATGTAATTGTAAACGTATAGTTATCGACCAAATAAAATGATGAAACAATATATTTGACAAAAATAACTCATAAAGCGATGGAAACGCCAAAATAATTTTGATACTGTCTATATTCTCAAACCAATAAATAAAATGTACCAATTCATAGTTATTTTTTTTTAAAATTATAGACTATAATACAAAACTGGTTTATGGGCAAAAACCAGTGGGAATAGCCGTAATTTAATCAGTTAGGCGTTAGGAACGTAGAATCTGACAATATATTTGCGCTATTTCAAGGTACAGCAGCAAATCTGCATAACGAAATGAAGTCAAGACAAATATGATAGTAGTAGAATTATTAACAATATTACTAGCAGTGCAAGACGATAGGCACAAGCGATAAGATTGGCGAATGAATTCGTGAAATAAGAACAAGTATTTTAAGAAAAAGAGTGAATACATTTGCCCCCATTCAGACTAACTCACAGCTACTTCATTTAAAGTCTTCAATCAGAAAGTCTGTATCTACTTACACGGCTCATTTCAGTAATTAGTGACCTCATGAACCAATGCCAAGTCTGTGATTCAATATCAACAATGAATTTTGGATTTATAAGACTCTTAAACTCTCGTATAAATTGTAATGATGCAGTTAATAAGAAAGAAGAATCATGTAAACTATTTTTAGTAGTAGTGATATTCAACAATAATGAGGAAAGTCAAGACCTTGACGCTTTTAGACGTATTTCTAATACGCAGTAAATTATAAAATCTATATTTAACAGTTTCTACTGTAGGGGTTTGAGTAGACTGTTAGAGTTCACAGTTTATATCACTGACTGATCATAGTTAGACAGTTATTAAGAACCAAGAAGTACAGGGCAGCTATTCTGTCGTAGTATAGGACTCCTTAACAGTGTGTACTTAGGACTCCACCAGGAACCTAACCGAGGGACTTTAAGCCTCACTACGAGAACACAAACTTAATTGATCCGGGGTTGAATGGTCACTTCAATCAATTTGCGATATTTTATGACCATCACCAGTGCCAATGGTGATATGTACCTCACACTCGACACGACTGAGCTCCATTAGTCACTTATTCGCCTTAGAACTCCTAGAACTACATTTTGAAGTACGACCTGGTCGCAAATGAGAACTGTCCAGTGCTCTCTAGCTTTAAATCGTTTTCTTTTTATGGTTAGTTTGCGATATAAACTATACATAAACTGTATTTATCAAAGATGCTGATCTTCATAATCTAGTTTGATATTCATGTATAATAATAGTTTAAAAGAAATATGAGCTACTTGAAAAAATTACAGAACAGTTTCTTTGTTTAAAACAGGATCAATGTTGTATATTTCAGATAACAGAATGGTTGGAATATTTCCATTTTTAAATACCTATATATCACCTTTCATTTTATTACAAAGCAATACATTTTGTTTACAAGCTAACCGTAGATAGACAGTGTTTATGCTGATGATTTACAGAACACACAGAGGCAACAAGTGTTCAGATAAAGAAAAATAACAAATACAATTTTAAAAATGTGATACAAATAATAGTTAATTTATAAAGCTTTAAAAACTAACCAGTAAGCAGATGCTTCGCACAGTTTTAGGATCATTAGAACGTTTTACAGAACAATTCTCTTGACATGGTATACGAGTGATTAGTTTGAACACGAAGTGAAATACGAAAGCATCCCACAAAGTATACAGTAGATATTTGGTTACAGTGAATAAAAGATGAAGTAGAAACCATACAGGACATAATATAAATGCACACAGTACACTGACTAAGAATTGCACGATCGATTTTAACAAGAATTGGTAAAAAATAATCTCGAATAATGGTAGTAGACGATTAGATCCAAGAACTGAGATTTTCAAGATAGAAAATAACAAAACAAAAACATTAAATCTAAACACAATGACCGATAGTTAGCATGAACGTTATAATATTACTCGTAAAACGAGTTATTTGAATTACGAGTGAGTTATTCATTGATGAAGTCGAATTGCAGCTGCTGACAACAGAAAAAACAAAGGAGTCAAACTGAAATGAACTGTCACTAATTTTATTTCTACGACAAATATTGGTAGACTGATTAATTTTATGTCACCAGCAATTTAAAACCGCTAGTTTTTGTTCAGTATACGATAACTAGCAAACCCATGTAAAACCGAACATTGATGAAACAAGCAACCAAAAATGAGATGATTATTCATTATATTATATTAGGATCCAGACATATTATAACATGCCTACAGGTTAAATCAAACGTTAATGAATACCACTGAATACTAGTGTAATTAGGATAATCAGTAAAGTAATTCAAATGTCTACTTTATATTATTCATCAATATAGTATGAAAGAACATTGCACAAAACAAAGATTCTTTAATGAAAATATGTATGAGAACAAAACATTAACATACCCGGTGTGTATGCATTCCAAAACAGTAAACCAAGTAAATGTGCAAGTAATGATAGTAATGGTATCACAGGTATAGATAGCACACCGACTACTATTGAAGTGGTAGAGCATAAAATACATAGTGTAGGCCAAAATATTATTAGAACCATGGTTGTCAAGACACCACGAATTATATACGTCCACATCCAATGAATTGGTCGTATTATATGCCATCGAAAAACCCCAGTTGATAACAACCGATGGTCAAAATTTTGCCTATTTTTACGTAGTGTAGTCCACATTTGACGAAGAAAGCTGATAACAGTATGATTATAATATGCTTTGTCATGATATACATAACCCTTTAAATTAAAGAGCAACAAACAAAAATGATTACATACCAGTCATAAATTTAATATAGAATGCTCGGCAAAATGCTTTGGAAATATAGAAGTATGGATCTAAACCATTGGAATCCAGGTTTTAACAATGTGGAACAAGATGAAAGATAGGTTTTCAGGTGTTAACAAATCCTAACAATAACATACAAAGTCAGCCCACATAATTTACACTATATCACAGTAAACCACAAACATTAGGTCAGATTGTGATCTATTATTACTACCTGAGCGTGTTATGAGATAACATGAGATTAGGGAAATAGACAAGATAACAATTTCCACTAGAGATAATTCGTATTACAGTCACCAGGATATATTAAACGGTAAGAGAAAATCATAATAAAAGACCAGTTAATATTTTCACATTTAAAGCTTCAATCGAATATTTCGAGAAAACATCTTTTACTACTTATTGAAATATAGTAGCTTAATGAGAAACACAAAACATTCAGCGGGTAGTAAAGCTGTGAAGTAGCCGTATAAATCACAAACTTGTTAACTTACTGAATTTTTATCTACTTTGTACATGTAATAGATTGACGTTGGTTTGAACAATACCACGTAGCTGACACATGACTGGAAAGGGATAATGACCTACCAAACACAAAACAAAAGCAAGTTATTTATCATGATGATTATACCAAGTTTAAAATCTGTATGTGACAAAAACAACAGTCAACATTCAAGTGTCATGACTTATAAAAGACACGATGGTAGACAATTTTTACTATACTACGTTATAACACTTATGTACATACTTAAATATAGAACTAAATGATTTTTTGCATTACGTAATACAGTAACAGTAGAATACTTTAAATGGTTTGACTGACATGAAGAGTTAAAAATACTGACAAAAATAAACTGGGAAATTACAAAACAAGTGTGAAGTTGTTTTATGCTTTGTTCATACTTCCAAGTGTATATACTAAGATATTACTAGTGAGACGATGTGTTTGGTTTTGCATAAAGTCGAGGTTTTGAAGAATCCAAATATGAGCATGAAATAAAAGTACAGTACTCATTGGTTTTCAGTTATTTTAATGTTAATTTTAATTCACGGAGAGAGCTGTTATAAAACCCAGTAGTCAAATTGGCAACGAACAAGCTCTTACCTTGAGAGTTCGTATATAACAATTAAGTTTGACAGACCTGAAATTCATAGTCAGTGAAATGAGATTGGTAGTCGGTACTTACATATCAGCTGATATACTGAATCCTTAATAATTTTCCAACCAATTAATTGACCAGATATCGTCTTTTTCGAATAATTGATCACAAACACTTGACTATTTCTTATTTCAATATAAACGAGAATTGGATTCTGCAAAAACTTGTCTTCACATAGAGACAAACAAGACTCATTCATTTAATCCTATTTCGTTTCTTCACTGATTATGACTATTAAAAACTATCAACACGAATGTTGATATATAGAAATTGCACATTCAATAAACATTTAAACTCACAAAAAAATATTGTAATGAACGGATGAGCCATGAATAAGTGCATAGAAAGAAAACAAGCCAACGCCACATAAAATGACGTGTCGAAGCTTTTAACACCAATGTAGATTGCATGACAAAATTTGACTGCGAATAATTCACCTGTATAAGATTAGAAAAATAATAATAGTAATAATATTAACAAATATTAATGAAAAAATTAATTAATAATAAAATTAGTGTCAAGAATGACAATTACGAATGAAATGCAGTCGTAATGGATTTCACATTTATTAACTGGAAAATGTACACCGTTTAAGGGATAACCAAACACGTAATTAAGGAGATAAATCTTCTGAATGATGCAGTAGTATTAGCTCAACTACTTCACTTCATACCAATAGTTCAGGTGTTTAGGCAGCATTTTGTATCTGGAGAGAGAATCATATCTCAAACATGATTGCATTGTTGTTCAAGGAGATCAGAAGACTGTATAGAACAAAACTATATCATCTGGGTATTTTAGGTTAGCATATGTATCTTCACGTAGAAAGTTGATTCCTGGAAAAACAAATGAGAGCATTATCTTTAAAAGAATATCATTGACGAAGTTAGATCGAGACAAAGACAAAGTTATAAGAGAATGGTCGACAGTGGAGAAACAAAGTGGCGATTTTGTCATAAACAAGAGGATGTCAAGTCCAGTTGCAGATATGGAGGCTGTTATCTTATTCTTGTTAACCTCACCGTGAAAAGATATATCTTCGAACGGGATCCAAAAAGAGAACTGGATTAGTAGTGGGAGAGTGACTACTGAGTCTAATGAATAGTTGTTCAAGGCCATTTACATACATCTCTTTCGCTCCATGCTTTTAAAGCCTTACTGTTGGAGATGGAAATATGTAGGATAAGATGGGTTTGACATTTTTAGGCCGATCTTTTCTTAACCCTTTGTTTGTAGAATTATTGTAGATGATAGTTTACATATACTACTGTATATTGTGTGAGTAATATAACATATTAATGACAAACTTACATGATCAGTACTGCTCTTGGGTGGGAGTAACGGGTCTCGGTAACGATGATCAGGCGAATTTAAAATATTTGAAAAGTCTGTATTTGATGTTACAATGTTATCAGTAAAGAAGTCACCATGAGAGGGGAAATTATCACCTTTATTTGTCTTCGACGTATTCATAGCAAAAGAACTGCGCGGAAATCGGTACATCAAAGGAATAACTTCAGTTGTACAATTCTGAGTTTTATTTCTTTTGATATGTCGCTTAATTGTAGGTAGTTTATCAGGAGAACCTCTATCAGAATCATAGCTGACTAATATTGTATCTACAAGTTGATAACGACTTGATAAGCTAAAATCCTCACGATACACATAAACATTACGAAGACAACGTCGTGAAACTTGAAAAATGAACTCTTCATCAGGAAATTTGGCGCTTTTAAATATTTGATCGCGTAGGAAACATTCACGCTAAGAAAAATAAATCCGAAGAAATGACTATTAGCTTATTTGTAATAGAATGGAACATTTTTTCACTAAACAAAATCCAAGGTAATGTTAATCGTTTGGTCCCTTCTCATACTAAAGAGTTAGCACAAATTAATACCGGGTAACTACTGTTTATTGGTAACTAATAATAAATGGTACAAGTTAAGACAACCCGGAAAGTAGAAAAAGATTCACAATTTTCAATATCAGAGGACTGAAACGCTAACAAAAGTAACAACGCGAACCAGACAGAAAAAATGCTTAAAGACAAACACACATATAAGAACGTGATTTGATCATATGATCTCGTAAAAAACTGATTTTAGTTGTGATAAACAAAATCGTTAACAGACTGGATAATGACTTCCAATCTCTAACATACGTGTTGTTATGATCACACAAATAGAATCAGACAAGTGTATCCAAAATCTAGTGTTTTATATTGAATATGAACAAAATATCATACAAAACATGTGATACCCAGAGGGTCTAGATCCATAAAAGTTCAGACAGGCTTACCTGTTCGAAAAGCCTACTATTATCTGATATAGCAAAAATAACAATGTTATAAAGTTATAATTACCAACCAGGCGTTCAATACCGACGGCAGAATCACGTAAGCAGTGAGAAAATGACTTACCACATTGCTTTGACAGGAAACAATTAAGAAATGATGAATCAGAACATTTTCAGATGCTCACTTTGATGTAATTGTGTACAATTAATAGACAACTATAAAAACTTTGAATTATCATTATACAAAAGTTCATCATGCAACATTGAAAACATTGTAAAAATACTTACAACATGATAAAGTACATATTATTTGACTACCTTCAGACTACTTTATCAAAAATGCAAGTCGCTTATAAATTTAGTGACGTTTTAGAGAAAATAATCGAAAGAAAGCTGTAATTGTAATCTGTCCCAAAATCATACTATGGAAAAATAACAAAGAAAAACTAGAACTAAACGAAACCGATTTATTTCTTCTTATTAAAGAAAGTAAATATAAACAAAGTGACATCAACTAATACTTTCATCAGATTAACTTAAAATGAAAAACGGTATAATGATTTTTAAGACAATTTCTACATCCTGTAACATATATTGAGTATAATTCCCAAAAAAAAAATTAATTATTAAACATCACCACTGCTTACATCTTTTAAAAATGCTAAATCACGGCCAATTAAGAAAGCATAAGATTCTAAACCATTTGAAATGCATTTTGATAAAACGTATTCATGAATGTCCAACTTATGCTCCTAGTATAAAATGTAGAAGGAATCAAAAAAATAATAACAATAAAAAGGAATTCAGAGAAAATCATATTCGTTGATTAAATATAAAGGAATCAAATCATGCTTTATGTATGAAATGATGCTGGAAAAGGACCAATTCTCGTCATTATAAACATAATTTACACACTACTACACTTGAAACTGTTTTGAACCTGGATGATAGAGAAATATAGTTAACAATAATGAGAAAAAGAAGCTAACTTATGTTATAATCATATTTATTTCACAGAAAATTTTAAGAATCGGTTTCATCATAAGTGGTACTGATTACCAAGGTGCTTATGCAAAATTAAAGAAACTAACTTGCATTCAACAAAATAAAACTCAATCTCAAGTGTAAATCACACCAGTAAATCAATAAAATGCGATGAACAATAAGAACAGTAACATTGTTTTGGTTTGACTCTGATAATCAAAACATACAAGTAAACGAAAAAACACATTGTGTGTGTGTGTTTGACAATAAGATTTGAAGAAATTAGTGAGAATATACACACGTTTACCGACTTAAAGTGACTGTAGAGCCGTCTTCATATACAACAAACAAGTTTATTTGGCGTAGTTTATTTCATACATAATAGTATTATCTATGAAAAACCAGTGAGCAAAAAGCCCCCATTTTATTTTTAAAAAATGGCAATAACTTCAAACCATTGAAAATTAAGAAATCAGGTTTCATTTTAACTGCAGTATTTGTAAACCATCCCGATTACAACCTGAACTTAATTATATTCATGCTTAATACCAGCCGGTGGAGTGTACTGGTAGAAAGAATGATATCAATCGACTTTGAAAAAATTGTATTTTCATTATTGTCACAAAGGTGGCTTCGCGATACGCTATCCCCTGTACAGGCTCGATGCTAACAACAGTTACTACGTCAAAGATTGAAAGTTCTTGAAAGGGAAGAATGATGATCAATAGATTCCCATCTTTTATGTACAGAAGTTTATATTGTTATTTATATCATGTAAACAATTTAGCAGTATTCTATCTAACACATTTTGTACATATTTTCGAACATGAAACAACTTTTTCATAAAATCATTGAGTGAAATTATTAAACTATTCAAAATACAAAACCTGACAAGCAAAAACCTACAGTTAATATATGGGGTCATATATTGGTACATCAATTTACCTGAAGGTATTCCGCCTTTGCATAATACCACTGTTTTGAACGCCATTTAGGAATATTAAATAAAACAGGATTGTTTAATTTTAAGTTTCGTTCATACGACTGACAGTATGACAGCCAATTTTGCATGAATAATTCTTTAGCTTCTGTCACAATTAACTTGAATTTCGCTTCTTGAATTAATGGTTCAGCTGAATCAAAACAAGAAAACGTTTTTATTATACACAGTGATTACAGAGTACTTAAGAAAATAAGCAAATGATAATCTCACAATTCCATCATGTTGACAATTTAAACTTATATTTACAGAACAAAATATTTTATTAAATACTTTTGACATAGCAAGATAGCTTAAAAAATCCTACCATCCTATTATCCATGTGTATTATAGTTTACTGATATCCACGGAAAACTAAAGGATTCATGTATAAAAAACAACGGAAATGCACATTCAAATCTTATTAATAGGAAAAACGAAGCATTCTAAAAGCAAAACACCGGAACAAACTCAAAACCATTCATCATCAAGAATCAATATAGAACGACATGTATATACTTCGAAAGCGACGATGTATATGGGCGTTAAATGTATTAGTATATAACTTATTGAGTAGAGTGCTAATCAACGAAATCTAAGAGTCGGGACAGACACAAATCAAAGTGTATTACCTATCCCTGGACTAATTTCATGCAACGCCTCACTTTGACGAATGGCATCAAATAGTCGTATTGCATACTGTTTCATACCATCCAGTAAAACTAACTGAAAGACAGAAAAGAAATGAAAAAATAAAAATAATGGAATCACTAACAAAACACAACAGCAAACAAATTAGAAATTTTGATATGCCTTAAATAACTAAACATAGTAACTATCAACAAGAATTTTAGTTACATTCCTAGCAGAAACAGAAATATTGATTAAAGAGACCGATCATAACTAGCTAATCGAAACAAAATAGATTAAAGGAGATATGTAAATGGATTAAAATCAGTTCCATACAGATCTCAGAAAACAATAGAACGGGTGACATTAAAATATCATCAGTACACCTGGCTTCGAGCATCATTTACAGTATAGCATAAAGTTATACTAATTCGGGTCGGCAAATATAAACTCATAGGTATATTTGGTAGAAAGAAATGGTAGAATTTAATGGATGGAAATTCTCTATAAACGTAGTAATATTAACATATATATACACTATCCAACATTGAGCATATCAGATTCCCGATCAATAATCTCTGAACATAAATTTTTGAGGTTGAATAAATCTAAGAAGACAAAAGATTTCGGTCAAATTAGGGCTGATAAAATCTACGACACCTTTAACCAAATTAATAAAATTTAATTTCTCACAAATACAATACTAAATACAACTCTAAATCAGGATCTGGTCATAAAACGGAGCGAGATATTTTGCACTATGGACTAAATAAACTATTAATAAAACTACGAAAAAAGCGAATAATTATGGTACCTGTTCGATTTCTGTTCAATTTTAAAGATAAATTATAGCTCCAAACTAACATAACGAAAATCTTTCTCTTATGACATGAACCCGAAGTGCAATCTTCTCCTCTATAAACACTAAATACATCATAAAGTCCCAATTATTCTCAGAATGATTAACGGTCAACTCCTCAAATTACTAAAACTGTGGTATATCGGAATCTTAAGTGCATAGAAGACAAGAGACGAAGTACATTGTGATTATTCAATCTTTGAAAGTTATAATAGCTCTACAACATGGTACATAATTGAGATTATATAATTTACTGATGATCATGACAGATAAAAACAGCCTAATTCAATTAATAACTAACTAATAATTTAATCTATCTCATCCATTTATTTAGATTAGAGCACTGTAATAATTTCCTTAGTGAACAGTACTTTCTTTTTTCATTGTAAACTAACAGGATGAATCATCATAATAAGAACTGTCTTTTTGAAGAATAGATAAACATAACAAATTCCACGTTATCCAACTAAGTGAATTGATTTATGCTTTAAAATAGTTCTTATTAATTAAACACAACTTAAATCTAAATAAACATTTTATTAAACCACAATAAATAATAGACATTACAAATAACAAAATCAATTATATCCATTAGCTTTAGATAAATAACAATCTTAAATGCTTCGACAAAACTCATTTGCAAAACTATTCAGTATGTTTATAGAATGTGAATATGTAATATTGATTTCATCTCTTGGTATATTTTAAATACAATGTTATTTTTTTTATTGAGATCATGAACCGATTGATGTTAGACCACTATTAAAAGCGTGGATGCACTGGACGGCCGTTTCGTCCTATTGTGGGACTCCTCAGCAGTGCGCGCCCACGATGCCACTCACGGGATTCGAACCCAGGGCCTTCAGTCTCGCGCGCGAACGCTTAATCGGTTCATGATCTCAATCAAAAACTTGACAATCTCCACAACACCTAAACTCATAATTACAATGTGCTCACTAGTGACTAGCTTCGTGAGAGAATTCTCGGAGTTCTGGGGAGAAGTCGTGACCAGTGGAGCTAATCCGTGTCGTGTAGAAACAGGTGTCTATCTCAGTACAATGGAAGATGGTCGCGCAACTTCGTGGATTGGTTGAGGTTAGAGATTAGCCCCGTTGGATGCCGGCTCAATGGTCGAGTAGGTTAGGCGTTCGCGCGCGAGACTGAAGGCCCTGGGTTCGAGTCCCGCGAGCGGGATCGTGGATGCGCACTACTGAGGAGTCCCACAATATGACGAAACGGCCGTTCAGTGTTTCCAGGTTTTTAATAGTGGCTTAACATTAGTCGGTTCATTATGTCAATCAAAAACTTGACAATCTCCACAACCCCTAAACTCATAATGTTATTTTTAACTATATCCGTTAAAAATAATCGTATTATTATGGTTTTATAATATAACTATTATGTATAGTCGTCGCTAACTGATGTAAATCAGTCTCATTTAACTATCTTGCCCAATACTAATCATTTCGAAAATATCATAAAATGACTAGCCAAACAACAACTATTGAAAACCAGGGGTAACTGTCTCGTCCTAGTACAAGACTATTCAGTAAGGCTAGTAGTGAGCATGTTAACTATAGACAGCTGAGTTAACATCAAATGTAAAACATTATCATATTTTTTTTATTTAAGTCAATTATTGATGTAAACTATCTTCACAAACTTGACATCCTATTCATAATGATTTCACTCAAGAACTATGGTAGTAACAAAATACAATATCTTGTGATTATTTGGTGTGGTAAATAAGACTTTAAATGTCTATGGAAAAAAATCGATTACTATGAAAACAGAATTAGGTTTTCCTTATTTATCCACCTAGTATTCTTTATTAGGTGGATAAATAAGTTAAAATTTGTACCCTAATCTGAAAGTACTTACTGGAATAAAAAATATCCATCCCATGGTTAGACACATGAGCTTGAAATACTGATTGAAAATTAACGATTGTCTTACTTTATAGAGTTTTAGGAGAGCATTTCATTCTCACTGTATTTAGACAGATTTATGAATTCTTAAATATCGCTGAATAGATTTAGAGTAGCATCTTTAAGATTTATACACTTTAAACAAAAATCTTTTTGTAACAAACAGTACGCTTTGTTATACAAACGAAAAGAAATAAAGAGCTGACTATCACGAAAAAATTGAATACGATTCATGACTATATGGAGGAAATTCTCAGTGTCTTATGTTTGCGAAATATGATAATACCTCTACACAAACCTATAACTTTGAGCCTTAAAACTATTCTTAAGATGATCGAATTCCGTCTACAAGGAATACCTGGATGGACAGAACAATTTTTCTTCTGATAGCTGAATTTTATAATTGCCACTTATTACGACAGTTTTTATTACATTATTTTACTCTTAAATTATACAATTACTCTTATATAGCCCACAGAAAATTACTTAAAATAAATAGTACCTTTTATCCATTAGAGTGTTCGATGACTTGCTCATAGCTGATTATTGCCATTAACTACTGGTGGTTATCTGAACTTACTGGCCTCATTCAGAGACAAGAATGGAAAATTACACCAGTGATATAGACCTTAACAACTGGGAAAAAAATATCTTCAAGTGCCATAAGATTGATATAGTTGAAAGTACTTAGCCTCGTTTGCAACCAACATTCAAAAACTATGCGAAAATACGAACTTAAATATACACCACATATATGTTCTATTACAACATTCGACTCCACTTCAGAACATGCATTTCGCAATAGAAAATGCATTCTAAAATAGAGATAAAATCTAATGACAGTGAACAAAGGTTTAGTTGGAAACTTTTTATCATAAGTTTCTTTTGCCACAAAATACTGCAATAAGTATAAACGAAATATAAATTATCCTATCTGTTAGATAAATATAACAATAAGTAATTAAAATTTCACATCCGAAGTATTCACTTGTACTTATGCCTACCTCATAAAGAAGTGATTATACAATCAAATAAAACGAGCTAATTTAATTTGATAAATATACCAAGTTGGTCCCATTTTTGACTTGAAAAAGGCAGTAGCCAAAGAATTCTATGTGTTTGATAATAATAGAGAAATAAGTAAAACTAAATTGAAATTGAACTGATCTTCATAACTAATCAACGTAATAATCGTAGACTCATTAGCAGCTAACGTGGAAATAAATCTCCGAAATTGCACTAAGAAGCTATGACTAGCAGAGATAAACAACGTCGATGATACTAGATGATCGTTGCGCTTCATCACGAAATGAATAAAAGTGAGGATACGGAAAACAGAATCTCATTGCTCTAAAATTAACGCGTTCACAGAAAGACCTGAGGGTTCGTGGTTCAACTATTGATTGAGTTATGGGTATACACTCCACAGAATTCCCAAACCAAAATAGGATACCTCTCCAATGTTCTCTAAATGTCAACAGTTGTCAAAATGAAATTAATCTGTGTGATAGTAGCAATAATATGATAATCATTATCAGTTATGTTTACGTTATCATGCTAATCCTTACCACTAAGATTTTTGACATTTATTAAAATAACAATGACAATCTTATGTTAACACTCTACTTACCCTTTTAACTTCAGATACTGATTTCTTTTCATCTACAGAGTAAAGTTACAATAAATGACAATTCTGAGAACATTATAATTTAACTTCATAAAACAAAATTATAAATTGATAAAACCTATTGGACCAGTAAATGACTGTGTTAAGACAGAAAATATCTGGTGAAGGCGATAGAACATGAAGTACCTAAAGAAAGAATCCACGAAACTACAGGAATATACTGTGAAACAATAATTGCAAAATTGTATGTAACGTCAGCTACTAGCTGATTCACAGTAGTTTGAGCATCGAATAACTGTGTAAGTGGTTCAGATGATCCACCTTCACATGTTTGACTTTGGTCAGTTGACTTAGTTGTAGCAGGAATTTAATTATTCACGTCATGATCTTTCATAAAGGAATAAAATTTTGCGGACATTTTTGCTATCCTGAACAAATCAGCTTCTTTAAACTAGTACAGCACAAACACACTGGTGGTAAACGTGGTCCATTGTGACCTATATAACTGTGTCTACCCAAATTACTTTACTGCTTGAAAATGTATTTACGTTTTTTTTTAAACATAACACAATTGATTAGTCAGAAAACAACAAAAGTGAAAGAAAAGTTTATAAAAGAATGTCTAAAAATAATATTTACCAAAATCCATTACTGGCAGGTTAAATTAAGTGCACAATTTAAATAAATATTTTATAAATACTAAAAACAAGATAAAACAAGTAACAATATTCATGATAGGCAGAAACAAATGCGCACATAACCGTACTTCTAACGATGCTGATGAAAATTGATCAAAATTAAGTGTTGTATCTCAAACCTTTTGAAAAATTTACTATTTGTATATAATAAAAGTTTTGTGTGAATAGCTTGAAAGTCATATGCATAAATATTTGACGCAACCAAGGTGATCGATATATCAGTAAATTTCAAAAGTAATACCTAACCGATATGAAAGCGCCGACTGCACTGATCAACAATTATGATAGTTCTCCTCCCTCTTCGATTCACCGACATATTGAAATATCAAAGGGTAACATGTGGGATGTGACTACAAGGAACTAATACTTAGTAATATTAGAACCCTTTACAAATATCTTAAACCAGATTGACACTAGAGTGGGGAAGCACTTGAATGAATAATGTCAATCAACCTAATAACAAGATGTACTAACTAACAAGATTGATTCATATCTCATAGCAGCATGAATCAAAATCTGAAAAGGAACTAATCAAACATCATAAACCAATAACGTCTAATTAGACCATTTCCTATCGCTAAGTAGTGTTTCGCTGTTAACAAATAGGATTTACTAAACATTCATCTAATTTTCATGTTAGGAGTCAACAAGAAGGGTGCAATCATTTCGAATGTTATCTTTTAATAAGAAGTATTTAAAACTGATTTTAACAATACATATACAATTTAAGTCACCTTACTTTCTAATTAAATATCTGAATAATTCACAATTATTATTTAACATCAGTTGTATAAACAAATATTAGAGTTAACTGAAGATAAATGTGAATTGAAGCTTGCAACTTGTTTTCACATTTAATTTGCATTTGATAAAGTCAATAACATTTTGATAAATTAACAAATAGAACTAATAATTACATTTTCTCTGAAGTCTAAAATTTTAACATTACGCTAGTCTACACTAACATTATTTCAACATCAATATCTGATGAAGGTAATTTCTTGACTCTTTGTCTATTGTATATGATGACAAAATAAAGCAATTTTAGATAGAAATGAATGGAGAATTGTATTACATGTTACATGCTTTTTTTTTCTGTAAACAGCCAAATATATCATGTGAGTAATTGATAGTTTTTAAAACAGAAATTATACTTAATATAAAATAAGTCCTAGTTTATATGAAATGCAATAATAATTGTTAATAGTGTTCTAGATACAAAATTTGAAGCTTAAAACTCAATTCCAATGTAAGTGTTAAAGATCGAAAACTGGAAGATATGTTCTTGTAAATACAAAGTTCAAATAAAAATAGTTTAACAGTAGTATTTTCAAATAAAGTGAAAAGAACAAGATTTTCAGAATAACATAAATTCACTATAGTTCAAGGCTTCTCATCAGCTACAAACGTGGCCTAAACTTCCATTGTAAAAGTATTATAAAATGTTTTCAACACCTTATTCAATGAAGCTTAGTTCGAAACAACATGAGAAACAAGAAGAGGAAGCAACACATTTAACATAATAGATAAGATTAATTAGTATTCATATGTTAAAGGTGAACTCATATAAGAAAGGGGGTGAAGTTATAGACCATAATCAAGAGACTATGAATAAAGACAAATTAATGAAAATCGAGGCACATAGTTGACATATAATGTAATTAGCAAACATTAAAATAATGTAGCCATCTTAAAATGGTAATGAGAGGTTTACTACAGCTTCATTCTGTATACGGTCACGTCGACAGCGACTGATGGAAATGACCTCTGCAAAACGGAGTAAAAGTACTCACTGTATTTCTAATAATTTTAAACGCTTTTGTTTTCATTATCAAATTAATGTCTCGTGATCTCATTTGTGAATACTTCTTTCTAAAAAAAATTTGGCGGAACTCGTGTGGATGTCCCTCATTCGGTCTTTCCTACATACTTGCTTCCGTAAGCACATGTATATCTGTAAATACATTTGGAGATGACCTCACAAGGGTATTGATCCACAGAGATTAGTTTAAGTTACATTTGGTATTATACACAATGAATACACATATCATGAAAGTAAACGGAATCAACGTAATATACAACCAAACCAGATAAACGGAAATAAACATTGCTTCCCCAGTTGGTATGCTCTTGAGCAAAGGGCTCACCACTTTGATTGCTCTAGCTGACCACATAAAATGACGACGGATGAAATATGTATCTTTACTTGCTTTGTAAATATTCTTGAAGTTCATTATGTCCAAATGGCAGGGGCAATAGCTGTTTAGACTAAAAACAACCAAAGCTATGCATCCAGAGGAAATGCATTCAGTCTCTTTTTTGCCATAGTTAACCTCAGACCCAGCAAAGTCAATAGTCATTTTAGTTATAGGATTACCTAATTTGACCAAGCTACAAGCCACATATATTTTCAAACCTTAAATTTCTTTTATGCGACTACCATTTTTAGTGGCACTGTTATCCCACATTATTATTATTATTACTACTATTACTATTACTATTATTATTATTAGCCTTGTACACACACGGAGAATTCAATGAAAACTCACTCCATTTTACTATTTCCTATCCAGTTCATATCATTTGATATATTATGAAATCTTCAAGCAAACACTTGATCTAACTTAGACTCTTAGGTTATCAATAATTGTTCTGATTGATAACCTCACAATTTCGTTTAACGTATAAAGTTAATCAAGTTAGTATTGAATACCAGCCATTTTGGAATTAATAATTTTATCTACATTCATTTAGACTATTATTCTCATAATTCCAATTGACCCATAAGGTTAGTTGAATTGACATTTCACATAAATCATTTCAATTTTTGGATAATTCAATAAGATGAAGATTGTCAAAACTATGTGATATATCACATAGTTTCGATAACCTTCATCTTTCTATTACATTATCCAAATGAAGAAGAAGGACGAATTGTTTTACATTTTAATATTGACATGTTTATTGTTTCTTACAAACAATTCTAAGTTCGAATTTTACAAGATCAATTTGCCTCAAACTTGGCTATCCCGTTTGTGGCATTAATTTGGACTTGTAACCTATAGAAACTAATGAGCGATTATAGAAAGAAATATCTTTGGTTAAATAAAATGGAAATTTCTAGACTAATAGAATGAACGGATGTAAGTTTCACACATTGTTTTAGAATACAGATAGAATCAGTGGTAAAGGAAATATAACAAAAACCTTAAATACGCAGCGTAAAAGACGACATATTCCTTGAATCCCAGTAATGATCTGAGGTTACTAGAACAAACATCAAATAGACCCACCATCTCATGAAATCCATTGATGGACAATTAAAAAAAGAAGTAATGGTTAAATGATTGGAAAACAACCAGACTATAGTCAGTAACAGATAACTACTAATCGAAAACAAGTCAGAAGTGTATGAAAAAATTATTCCCTAATAATGATATACCACAATAAATTGATTAACGTGAGAACAGTTTACACAAACCCACTTCAACCGAAGAACTTGAAATCAAAGAGCACTTGAGACGTGTTAGATACTAGTTTTAAACTTTTAAAAGAGGTTAATCTCTCATATTTTTACTTGGTCGAACTTACAAAATATGACACCGGGACACAAATCATATTTAAAAACACTTATAGATCCAAAATCATTTTCAAGAGTTTTGTTTAAATTATTACACCAGCTAAAAGGTCTTTCATTTCATTCAAAATATAGATCATTTTCATTTTTTAAGCTATAAACTGTACTCCACAAAGTCATTAAATATTTGTATTACCTCTAAACTGTGAGACAGAATATTCTTTAAAATCTTGGAACCAATCTCCTCGCACTGAATTCTCCAAATCTCCAATAACATGTAAACAGCGTTCAAGCAGAACGGGATCATGAAGACGAAGATCAACTGAAACACGATTTGGTGTTAAAAATCGATACGGTAACGGAATGTTTTCTGGAACTTCCTATAGTACAAGCCAAATAAGTGAATGGAGGAAACTATAACATGCATATATGTATATAATTAATATCAACTCTTAACGGTGTCATATAATGGATAGCACTTTCACGAAAGGCAGTAAAAATAAATGTTTTGGATCCAATTAGAAAATTCATTTTTAAAGCAGTTGTTAGATAGTATTGTCGAATGAAAAATAATGGACTAACCACAGACAGACGAACGCTAAACTAAAATGGACAAATGAATCAGAACCAGTAGAAAAATTTATAGGGATGGGTTCTTTCTAGTTGTGCATCAGTTAACATACAGGGAATAGTTAAAATCTTTGAGGTATGGACCTCAGGACAAAATGCTTCTTCGATCTATTTAGTCATAACGACATTTTAACGATGAGAATCGTATATCAGTAAAATCAGAGAAGACAAGACTTTGAAAGAGAACTTTTATGAATCAAGAAAGGACGAAAAAACAAGTAAACATCACAGTATATATGATAAGAGACGAGATAAAATACTCAACAGAGTGAGGTGTCACGCGTGAAACACCGGGGCGCGAAAGGTCATGACAAAAATCACTACTACAGATTATAATAATAATTCATTAGATCAATGCCAACACTAACCAATCTAATTAGTACAAAAACTGATATTTGTCGGCTGACATTTTTTTACCAAAGCAGTCGCAATCGTTGATCTTGGACGGACACGTCCTAACGAAGGAACTTAATGAAAAACCAATTAACAATGAGAAATTTCGACTCAGACTATTTGATTGGTACACCATACAAATAAAATATCTAAGATCGATTAGCTTAAATTGTCAAGATAAAAATTACATTTCGTACTGAGGAATAATAACAACAAAAATGTCGAATACATCCATGTTTTGCGTTTATTTTAAGTAATATACGAATCCGTACAAGCAGACACGAATTAAATTACTTATTTTATTAAAACTTTGAGTGATTTTAGATGACTAGAATTATTTCAAGCGAATTTAATTCAAAATAGAAGTGAAGAATTAACGAAATGATGTTCATGACTTCTGTTAACCGAAAAAAATCATTTACCCATTTTATTGATCACCTAGTTAACCAAATTACATAAACAAAGTTACAAGCATTCACATACACACTGGTTTTGTGCATACATGCATCATCATGAGAATGACTACGACAACAATGACAACAAAGGTAAAATTGACCAGTTATTTGATATAATCCTCTAGAACAGCTAAAAGGTTAGTTTTTTTTTCAAATTATCTAGTCATTCTCGCGAAATTTCTATCGATCAACTAATATGGTAACAAACAACCGGATTGTTTTTCCATGACTTTAAGACTAGAAAAACTGAACAGTAAGCCTGATCACATAATCAGCCATTAGTTAGCGTGAAATAACGAGATAAAAATTTATTTTTTGATTAAAAAGCACAAACAATAAGAAGACGTATTCAGTATGATACAGGAAACTACTAGTATTATTTATTTACATCAATTAACTACCCATTAATTTACACTTTGTACACGAGAATGAAATATTAAATAGCTTATAATTTAACAACAGTCTCTTAAGGTTAGAACTAGTGATTGCAAGAAGATAGCTTTTTACCAGAAGATGACCATAGAATACTGAGAAAATAGACCTTGATAAGGAATCTAATTGTTAAGAAATATCACCATTGCTACAACTTGACAAAGTTAATAAACATTAGCAACTCACCACATGAATGCTGAAATAATGGTACTAGGTGAAATTCGAATATGGTTGGAAAACAGTTCACCTATATAATAGGTTTTGCAAGGAAATGAGATGCAAAGTAATCAGTACATTGTTAGTATTCCTGATGTAGAATCCGGTCATCCACTATGGTATACATGGACGAGTGTTTACGCTTGCTATGCCTTGAATGCACAAGCATTATCGTTTTTTATTTCACGTCGAATATCATGGTCTCTCAATGTTCCCTTCGTAAATACAAGCTGATTTCAAAAAAGTTAAAATGTATGCGAATATATGAAGTCACCCGTTTTATTTAGCAATGGGAATACAACCTCTATCTTAAATATGAAAGTTTCCAGAATAAAATAAGTGCTTTTCTTAGAACAGTTAGGCACATACAACCCTTATCCGGATAACAGTAATAGACAACCATTTTTGAAGTCTCATAACTTCTAGATACCCAAATTAAGTTTGCCTTTGAATAATCTATACGTGTTTCTGCTTCCACCCTAATGAACATTTCATTCTACCAATAGTTTTCAGTATTATGTGTATGTGATTGATCGAGTAAACGACTTGAAAGTCAAGAAATATAATCATATTATCCCAACTACGCAATAAGGGCACGGAAAACATTCCAAATTTTTATAAGAGAATTATATAAAGTCTGTAAAAAGTGAAACACAATGAATAAAAAGATTATGGAAGCGGGATTTGATAAAATTTCTTGCTTAATTATCACTCAAAATTCACCACTCCGTACATAAACCAACAACTAATAGTGAGAAAATTCGTGCTTTTGTTCTAAATCTGAATTAAATCCACGATTAAAAAGTAACTATTAAGTGCATAGGAATTTTAGCTTAAAGTAAGTATAATAGCGTTCGTCGTAACAAACGCTAATGCTCGGATAAAGGTGTTATATTACTCCGTCACCATTAAAATTGTGAAGGTTTGACTTTTAAGCAGTTAACAACCTAACCACTAGTTGAGCACACATTTTTGCTGCATCATCTAAGACCTTAGGGCTAGAAAAAAATCTTGTGTGACGACTAATATACTTTCAACAAAATTCTAGATTTTGATATGGTCTTTCTCCAATGCTATCATAACCATCTGAAAATATTTAGAAATTCTGAACTAGAGCCGAAATATTATCATATCAAAAACAATATTTACCTATCTTTGCTAACGTGATTAAACAATAGTAAATTTAGATCAAAACATTTTAAAAAATGTATTCACATCATGACTCACCTCACACTTTCCAAAAGGTAATTTACTTAGATGTTCGCAGATACTCCAAAAGTCTAGTACTTTTTTTTTCTGGCTAGACTGTAGGAATAACAGAATTTTAAAAACTTAGTACTAGATATGGTATTGAGCAGTAGAAATACATTTCCTACTAAATGATCACGTAATAAAAGTTTATGTACACAAAACTCATACTAAAAAAATTGTTGTATGAACATCATTTCTAGAAAGATGAATCGCAAGAAAGAGCTCTAAGACAATTCGTTAAATTAAATAAACCTGTTATTCCTTATCAAGCACAGATCGCCAAGGAAAAATCTCCAATCAACTCTGTCCTGGGCTTTTATTTCTGGTTGTTGCTAAGTGCTATTCTTCCTTTACATGTTGTCTTCCAATTCCCTACGGCATGTTTTTGATTTCCCTTTTTTTACTTTACCTTGAGGATTCCAAGTTAAGGATTGCAACTTGATTTCCGTAATGTACGACTTTTCAGTGCAGTCCCTCATACAAGTTCTATATAATGATGATGAGTTTGTAAGCTTCCCAAAGGAAACTGCGTCAAAACTTTGCAGAGTCGCTTGTCCAATTGTCCAGCACTTCTTCAGCTTCGAACTTAGCTCAGCCAACACCAGGTGGTTTCCGGTTAACATTTTTCAGCAAATTCGTTGTTTACGGGATGAGGTTACTAACCCTATGCCTGACCCCCCTCACGTACCCGGGGCTTGTGACCGGTAGTAACTCTAAAAGGACTCCAGGTGGTGGTGTCCTGAAGTCATATCAGCTCCTCACCTTATTCTTAACCCCATATAATTTTTTATTGATACGGATGTGGTCAATCTGGTTCTCCCAAGTTATCCCTTCTTTATTTGTTTTGAAAGACGTTTTAATCATCCTGGAGCCATGAAGTTTACACCCTATGGGCACTGTTCGTGTTTCCTTAAACAGTATCAGTGCAGCTCCTTGTGCGTGCGAGGTATTTCTTCTTCATGACCAGAATACAGCAGCGACTCACCCGAAACTAGCCTCTTTTGTTCAGTTTGTATTAAATGTGTTTTACTTATCCCAACCACAGCAAGGTTCTACTTTCGAATCTTTCCCTCTACTTGAGTAATTCCCCCGGTCTTCAATATTTTTCAAGCATTCGAAAGGGGTGTCAGCATCGTGGCCTTTGAATCATCTCGGATTTCACAACGCAGCGTTACAACTCTTCTATATGAAAACCCTTCAACTATCAGGGTAGAGTTTAAACGGCTTAAATTATTTTTCTGATTGATGTTTTTTAGAGTGGTTAACTTTTACTGGGTGAGGTTGTTAACCATGTACCAAACTCTCCTTTACTCGAGTTTGGAACCGGGTGGAGTTTATTTGTGGTGTACTGCATTTTTACAACAATTCACAATAAAAAGAGGTACCGCATGGTTTCTGAGCAACCATCACCTTTAGATTTATTTTTTAATGTATCACATGTATCTGCTTCGGTCTGAGCACCCTGGCAGTATCTCAGCCTACACACAAATTTAATGATAATGATAATGATGATGATATTCACTGAAAACTCTATTCTCGCTGCGATTTACTGTCAAACAATTCACATTATTATTATTATTATTATTATTACTATTATTATTGTTATTATTATTACCATTATTTACCACGTTATTTATTCACTCTCTTTCATTCCCACTCTTTCTATCCTTATTTTTCGACTTACACAGCAGCTCGCCTATGGTGGACATTCGGCTCTATCTAAACGTTCTCGAGTCACTACCTGGTTGAAAATTGTATGTTACCATCGAATACGAGTACTGAAGCAGTTTTTCTGAAACCACGTGCACCATTCAAACTGACTGCCTTTTGTGGTCAGTATATGACATGGTGTCGTGGTATGAAAGAAAGCTGTGAAGGGCTGGCTTCTGTTGGTCCTTCACGACTCCCTGGCTTTCTTTATAAAAAGTGGTTGCTTCTTCCTTAACTGCAAGATTTCTTCTGATTGTACCTTTTCGTTTCCCTCATTATTGATCTTTTTTATAATCCCCTACGTTCCTTACCTTTTTTCCCTCCTCCTTAAATTCTCATTGTTTTGTGTGGCGAATATATATTTGGTGCCCCTTGTACCAATATTTATGTGTTCAAATAAATAAATAATCTTGACGAAATATCCAATATACTACTGAATATTACCCCGTCAAGTGTGGTAACTACTAGTGATATGACATATCAAACAAAAGAGCAAATAGAAACACAGATTGAAAATGCCCTACTCTTTTAACGTTACATTTACTGCAGTACATTTTTAGGTTTCTTTAGGTTTTATACCATTTTACCCGTTTTTCCCATAATTGACACGACACACAAGTATTTACGGTCTTTTTCAATATTTAAGTTCCAGTTTATATATATATATATATATATATATATATATATATATATATATATATATATATATCCTTTGATAGATAAGGAAGATATCTTACCTATGCGATAGGTGGCGCAAGTTGGTAAAAGCGAAGTGAGCTTTTTGCATCTGTCTAGTGATCTCGTCACTCACTAGTGCACCACAGCTAATGAAACTTTTAAGATAATTAAAGTGGTCAACGTACTCGACAATTGTACACGTTTCTTAACTTAGTTATTGACGGACACCAGTCATAAGGAAGTACTCCAAATTCGGATGGAGACGCATGTAGAAACACTTCCATTGTTATTCAAAGTATGTAGAAGACCTCCACTAGTAAGAATTTTCCGATTCCGATGACAATTAGCTATAAGCTCTGACTCGACCCAAAGTATTCGAGCAGAGAGCCTGTACAAGGTTAGTGTACTTCTTTAGTACACCTTTAATAAACAGACACTAGTTCAGAACCTTATGATCAACCGAGTCGAACACCAGCCTAAGGTTAAGGAATACAACTGTAGTACGATGTCGAAAGGTATGTCTATGTTTTAGAATCTGCTGAAGAGTGAATATTTGGTCTACACATTCACGTGCAGATGTGAACCAGTCTGGTTTTCGCGGATTCGCTTTTCAAGAGCTATAATTAGATATCGAAGTATTATTGAGGCTAATATTTTAGACATTGTATTAGTTAAACTGATTCCTCTGATTATCACAAGAGGATTTTCGTCCTTTCTTATAGACCAGTCAGATGTGATCACGTCCAGTTCCAAGATTCAGTTGATCTTACTGCTAAAACTTGACCACCATCCTTAAAAATCTAAGGGGTTAATTCATCAAACCCTGCTTCTCTACCTCACTTTAGATTACTTATAGCCTTTTCAACTTCACTAAGAGTTGGAAAACTTATATCAGTTTGCCATTCAGGTTGCTTGAAGATAATGGGTAACTGAAGTGTCTGAAGGCCACATGAACTGTTCTTTAGAATCTTCTGCCCATTGGTCCAATCTCTTGAATTGAGAACGGAAAATAGTCCTGTCTTTTGCCGAGACAGTTTCACTAACAGCTTTATGTTTAATACCCGTTCTCTTGATAAGTCTGAACAGTGGTCTACTGTTATGTATCGCTGTCTTTTCTTTCTCTTTTGCTTCCTCTACCCACCACTCCTCGCAATCATTACATAGGCCTTTTATTAGCCTATGTCCAAGCTGCCTCCGCTCCTCATCCACTTCGGAGCCAGATGTGGTGAATGTTCAAAAATCCACCAGTTTTGCAGATGCCGCTGAAATCCACTGATTTTTCCTAACTTTATGGTCTAAGTTACTAATAAATATCACAGCTGTTTCCACAGATTTTTGGATATCATTTCAAGCTACCTCGGAGTGAATATCACTTCATGGTTGACGAACTCCTTCTCTAGTTGTTCCTAAAATATATTCTTAACTATTTCATCAGAAAGTTGGACTCCAAGGCAAAATCGAAGAAAAGGTAATGGCGCGAGCCTCATCTTCCTGAGTTCTTATTGTCCCGTTTAGTTGAACAGCGCACGTGCGATGGTCTATTGGAATCTAGTTTAACTGAAACTGTTCTGATTTTGAACCAAATTCTATATCTACACCAGTAACGTCACGAGAAGTAGCAGTTGGGTCTACAGATAATCAAAAAATAAATCGTCCCCGTTCCTTATATTGAGAAAGTGAAGCTAAATGAAAGACCTTACTTGGATCCTGTACATGCGTTTTCAATGCGCATTATACATCGATGGCGCGAGATCCTACAGTCCAAGCTACAGAAGCCTGTTGTTCTATCTGACACAAGGTTCGAGCATTAAAAGCTCCAATATGTAGCTTAGAGCGTGGTTTCAGGAGATCAGGAAGGACATTTTATGAACCTAAATCAACAGCATTGGTGACTCGTGGTGATATAGATATACGAGAAGGGTTAGTCCTGCAGACGGAAGAAATATTAAGAGACAAGGGTGGGGTTTAATTGTCAACAAGATTATCTCTGTTGCTGATAGAGGTATGACGGCGGTTGTCACTTCCCGGTCGCCAACACCGTAGAAGGATATTTCTTCTCGAGAGACTTGAAAAGGAAGGTGAGTTAGTGGTGGAGCGTGATTGCAGAACCCAAGAGATAACTGCTTGAGGACAGTCTCCCACGACCTTTTAATGGGAAGTTTTTGATGTGTTAGCCACGCACTTCAAAACGCCTTAACGTCGGAGAGGGAAATCCGTGGGGTAAAGTGAGGTGTGACTTATCTAGAGTCAACATTTGCTAGGCCCCAAATGCTCTGGTATGGCCGAGAGCGGGGTGGGCTTGCCCTTCCTCTAGAAATACTCTCACACGGCCACACGTATACAGCCTCTGCCAGAGAAGTCCTACTCACTGCCTTCTCGTGGCGGGGGTGTTGTTTACAAAAATGAGAGGACGAAAAGCGAATGTCTGGCGCTTTAACCGGACCCCAAACCAATGGTGCATATGGGCTCCAGTATCATGCGGGAACAAATGGCGTGTGAACCAATCGTTGTTCACCGGCTTCCATGGGACTGCATCTCCTCACGATGCTCCACTGCCTTGTGGGTTAGACCTTTAGGTCAAAGGCTCCGGGTGTGGCTCCCTAAGAAAACTACCTGCTTCGGTCTGGGCACCCGGGCAGTATCACAGCCCAAACACAAATAAGATTTTGTTTGGCGCATATATATTTAGTGCCCTCTTGTACCAATATTTATGTGTTCAGATAATAAATAAATAGAACATTTGCTAACCCTACCTTTTCATTGTGAAAAGGCAACATCACTTCAGGCTCTGGTTGTTCGAGGGAACACCTTACCTTTTTACAGTCAGTAGTGCGACTCGAACTTCGGGCCTAAAGTTACGGCTTTTAGTTTTATCGTTTTTTGACCGACCTGCCTGGCATGGTGAGACTTAAAGCGACACGTGTTCCAGACAATATAACACAGATGAGTCATCATGATTGGCAAGCATGACCATCAAGTCAAAGTAGCAGCTACGGTCCGGTGGAAGCTACACGTAGTTCCTGTACACAAACAGTAATTTCACAATTTATTGATAAATCATCAAGTTAAGTTGCTGTATGATTGCTTTATTAGGACTGAAGTCAAGTCTCTGAGTGATCAATGAAATTAAAACCATGGCATAGAAGTAGTAGATTATGATTATTTCAACAACTTTTTTGTTAGAAGTTAGAATGATTAGTTTTGATACAGGAAATAACTATTTAGTGACGTATAGAATAGATCTACTCCCGAATAGGTTCAAAACAAATTATTAATAACTAAAATTATATATAATACCATTAGAAAAACTAAAATTAGTAAGAGAAAACCGCAGTTACAAATAAGTCCACAGTACATTTACGTAAATCCCTTGAAATCCCACTCACTTTAACGGACAGCTCACATATCAGAAACCCAAGGCGTTCCTCAAGCAGCTTGAGATCTACATCACCATTATTGACTCGAGGCCATCCAAAGAATATATCTAATAAGGAAGGTAGGAAAAATACCACCATTTACGAAAAGTAAGAGCAATTTCTGAGAAATAGCAAGATGACAATTAATACATACTATGTAGGTATACACGAGACTTAAAATTACTTTCATTTCTGATTTAATTTCCCACTACTTGTGATATTATTGTTTATATTGGTATTTCAACTGTTTCCCTTGATGCTGTGATACGAAACGTTGCAAACGAATATACCGTTTGAAGTAAAACCTATACAATATATTGCTTTACCTAAGCTATATTTCTTTACTCTTCACCCGAATTCGTTGACCGTTCACATCATTAACCGGTTGTAAACTCAGTTCGCTTATCGAGTACCAATAAAATGAACAGAACACATGTAACAAAGTGATTCAAATGTGACAAAAAACATTGTGGTTTAGAATACAAACACGCACCAAATGGACAGTATCTAGGTATTTTCCAGAGACATTTGTCCATATATATTGTCAAGCAGTTTACTGGTCATCAACACAATTTAGAGAGTACAAATACGGTTATGCTCATCTATTGTGAAAATTATGAATTGTTAAAAAACAAGCGATTAAAAAACTTTCGGTTAATCTTTCTCAGTAAACGAAATGACAATCGACACAAAATCAAAAATATTCAGTCCACACAATGTATTCGCAGTAAATTTTATATATACAAGTGTGTACTTATGCAGTGGACGAGAAAAGGCGGAGACAACCAAATGTATTTGAATGCAAAATCCCTTAGTAAAATCTGAGGACCATACAGTAAATACTTCATTACAAAAGGCCTAGCAATTGTTTCAGACTTCATTGTTCCTTTATTTCCATATCAATCACACTGTTCTCGTTCTCTTCTCTTCAATCTTCCTAAACTTCTGCCTCCAGACATTACTTCTCATATCTATCGACATCAGTAACACACACCACACTTACACTGTACACTTTCTAAAGCTCAGCATTCCAAAGCTTTAAGCAGGAAATAGTACATACGTGAGGATGTTTGGTCTTTAAATTAAGAACTAATGTGAGTTTTGCCCCAAATGCTCTGGTACAGTCGCGGGCGAGTCAGCTCTCCCTCTGGAAATGCTCTCACATGTCTGCGCGTGTAAAGCCCCTGTCAGAGGAGTCCTACTCACTACCTTCTCGTAGCGAGTGTCGTTTACGAAATCGAGAACGAAAAACGATAATAGAGATCGAGACTTAGACTATAATTTATGGACGACCTTTGAGCGATGCTGAACTGATCAAAGAAATCCCAACCACTCACTAGGGTTAAATATTGATATGAGGAGCCAGAGCTTAAGGGCTTTTTAACACAAAATGACCAGCTATAATCCTAAAACGTTATTTAGTTATATAGACGACCGATTTTCACACTAAAATCCAAGGGCCATGATCTTACATCTCACTGGCTCACCTAAAATTTATAGTTCTGCCATATGAAGGTTCACAGAGAAGGAACTGTAGTACAAAGACGCAAACTTACCTAGCATAGAGTAGACGGAGATGCATAAATCAACCAATGATCGAGAGATGGAGAAATTCGGATTTTCAATGAAATTCATAGAAGTTACCACCACTACGGACAAAGCTTTATATAAATCCTCAAAAGAAAAGATAAGCGAAAAAAATCGTTACTCTATTAAAATGTTTGTAAATATTCCGAGTTCCATTTAAAAGCCAAGGAGAGATTTTCCATGCATGTACTTCACCTACAACAATGAGTTACAACAATAGGCTTGCCTGTGAAAGTTGTGCAAGGCACAACGAACTGTGCGTCTGTACGAATTTCCTGTCGTTGGCTTTTATTTACGACATTTAAATCCCGAAAACATATTCTGGCAGCCGCCTCACACTTTTCAACGTTGTTATCATAGAATACGTCCGATATATTTATATCCTGTATATATTCAAAAGGCCTAACAATGAAGAACTAACTTCGTTAGCTGCTAGAGATAAGAATGATTTAGGAAGTTGTACAGGGAAAGTCTCCCAAGTGAACAAACATTTATCAACAACCTGACATGGGTTATTTAAAGGAAATATACCTCTTTTAAAGACTTGATGACTTCCGTGTACTCTCCGTAACAATTTTTTTTATTTTCTCTAATGCCAGAGACAAAAGCCACTCTCTATTTATACGTAGTCTAATAATAACTCAAGTACGTGAACTTACTCCAGGTTCGCTAACATGACAGTCACAAGATAAGAGAGAAGGCAAAGTCTCTTCAAAATTAACGTTGACCTTTTTGGTCATTAAAGGGATAAATTAGGTATCTAATGTGACCTTAAACACATAACGCCGGTAAGGATTCAAGCCAGTTGCAAGGTCAAACCACATGATCAGTAGTACCAATATCTGATGTCATCGCTTCAAGCTAATTTCGACTAAGTTATTTCTTTAAGCCTTTGTTTTGTCATTCAGTCTGGGGAAAATGTTTCTTATAATTGCATTGAAAGGATGCACTTTGGTCAGTAGACTGCTCCTGTCTTAATAAAGTAGACGGATTTGGGCGATCTGTATATCTTAAGTATAAGTGAATTAAATTATCTTAAAGATCTGATTTTTTCAATAATTTGGTCAAGGGTTTCAGTTCTTATTCGAGACACCTCACAGATGATGCTTTGCCTCAAGATCTCACTTTTTTTCCGTATCATAGATTTTCTTTTCACAGTCGAGTGTTTGGCTCGTCCCATAATAACACTCACCATTTTAACATTATTTACTATCAATACTCATGTTGCCGTTGAAGCCACTATCAACCTTTTTGCTGACCAAAGCACCAAGGCCCACTGCCTCGTGGATGAATAATGTCTTTGTAGGGGTTAAGCTTAATACGGTTTATTTGGTTATGGATAGAATTTCTCGTGACAAGATTTTTTAAAACTATTATTACATATGAATTATTTTAAAAAATGCTTTAATTACGTGAAAACAGAGATAATTATGTGAATTTCCGGCCGATAACTAACAGTAATTTGTTAAACACGAGCGGATTCTTGAGTCTCCTGCTCTAAACTCGATGATTTGATTTGCGATAACCCGATTATCTACATTCATACACGCCGCTTGATGGTCCTGAGTATCAAGTTAGTCATAAGGTAGAGATCAACCTATTTGAAACGGAGTGATTAACGTTCTTGTTCTTGGTCAAGCGTAATTTTCACAAATAGAGGTGATGTGATTTCTCATGTTTCCAGTTAAATAAATGCTCACAAAAGACAAGCAGTGAGTGTCACAAAGTTGATTTTGAAGGAGAGCATAATTTGTAATCGAGTGGAGTACAACTCCTAACTCATGTTTATTATAAAGACACGAACTTTTATAAGTGCTCAAGTCAACTCGACAATGACTTTTTCAGTTTGCAGGAGGTTAGTTCGACTTCTGATATTGATGATTTACACTAACGATTGTGTCGATAAAATTTTCACTTACCTAACTAGGTTCTTCTTTGTTCACTTAATGAGCAATTGATAGGAAAATGTATTATAATCTTTCGCGCCAAATTAAGGTGACCACAGGAATTCAACACTATGGAGTGGCAACCATCGGCCGACTCATCACCCGAGATTTGTTATTCGTTTCGTCACTCTAATCGTTCAAATTGCATGATTGTCAAGTCACAGTAGAGACATATAGTTTTGAAAGTCGTTATAAATTAGCTCGTATGATGTTGTTGAGTATTTAGTGAGTTGAAAACGCACAGTGTTGCTTCATATACTTCGCAAAAAATGCGTCACAGTATCTACCGACAAACAACATGCTAAATCATCATTGTATGGTGAGTAACGCTCTTTGATAGTGAATCATTACGCGTCAATGGATGGTCACTTGTAGCTTATTGTGAGTAAAGTACATAAAGAACAACATCAAAGTTGAGTAATTATCACACTTCGGATGTAAGCTGCAATGATGCTGCCAAACAACATTATTATGACACACCATGACAGTTGTCTGGAATTTCACTTTGGGTTATATTAATCTGACAAGTGGATGTGTCATTACATATATATTTGAGGACTATGGTTGGCTTGTAGAAAATTCTAGGGTTCGTTCAAATATTTTTCAACCTGTATAGCAAACAAATAAACCGAGAACAAAATTAAAATGACATACATATAGTAATAAAGCCGTAACAGTAAACGTAAAGCGGATGCTAAACACTAACAAAAGTTGCAGACACTAATATTGTGTGGAAGGTAGGAATGAGGTGGCCATTTTGTAAAGGGTTGATTCAAGTAAATTATTATCCAATGTTGTTCACACGTTATGTAAGGTAATACGATGAAGTATCTGATTAAGGCCCAGTGTACATCCAATGCTTTTTCCACAATATGTCGCCTACTGAGGCATACATACATGATTTCGATTACGATCCGACATGAATGATATGATATAAAGCCGGTCTGTAGAGAAAAGGCCACGCAATGTTACCAAGCATCATAAATACAACATGAAATCATCGAATGAAATTATAAACCTCGCTCGAGTGACTTTCGAAGTTATGTAATGAGGATTCATCAACCGAAGCAATATAAACCCAAGTAAATCTGAAGTAAATACAACGTGCTAATGAGTCGATTCATGGATTCGCATAACGTTGTAGATTGATTCGATATAGATCCTGAAATAATTAAAGCCATTTTTGGAACGCGTTTTGAAGAGTCATGATTTCGTACTTGTTGTAAAATAAATTTTATGAACTCATTTCATCAAAACCATACTTGGTCTAATTTAAACTGAACTGTCTCGATGATTTAGAGTTTTTTAAACCTATCTCGAGGCACACTTCAGTTGATCATTATAATAATAATAATAATATATTTCTGCATGAGCAAGTACACGCCATTTTTACAGGCATGATCTACAAATTATAACATTTGTTGGAGCATAGCATGCTTCCTAACTTATTAAGTTTATAGTTGTTATAAAGTAGTCTCGTAGAGCGCTTGTTATAAACCATGGCCTTGAGTTGACACATACGTCAAGTTTGTTCCAGACGTTAAAAGTTTCATAGCTGTGCCCTCGGAGCAAGATTCTGAAGAAAATAAAAAAAGAGCAACAAGGCACTTGGATATGGACTCCAAACGTTGCTTAACATGACGTAGAACAGACAAAGGTATAATAAATTACATTAAATTCATATGATCTCTTGTTAGAGTGAAATAAAGTCAGAGGCTCCATTCAAGAGAATGTAGTAATAAAGAACAATGAATCGTGATGTTTAACAAGTTGGAGTAAGCTCATATGAAGGAAGGGAAGTTAAGGTTGGTACAGGGAAAGTTGTTTATTAGAAGGGAGTGTGCATATAAAGGGTGAAGTGTTGAAAATATTAATAACTATATCTTTTGTTGTCTGATTTTTTCTTTCTTTTTTTTCATCCGATGCCAGCCACACAATCCATGTGTAAAAGTCCGAGTTAGCATGTTATAGGTTGTCTTAGTAGAATAGCTACTCCAGTATAAAATTGGAAACATGAGTCTGAGTGGTAAGCGTAGAAAGATAATCTATATCACAGATTGATTGACTTATGCTCAATCATAGAGAGCCTGATACATACAAAATGTTCTGCCCCACAAACACGGGTGGATTGAAGTCATCGCCCTCACCATCAATGCTTGCTGGTCAGTAACTCCACCCTCCCTCCTTTTGTGATGTTAGGCTCATTTAAGCTTATTCTTGGATATATATCATACCTCACACAATCCTCTGTTTCACAATCTGTTGGAAAACACTATTTCTATAAGTACCATTTTACAAGCTTATCAGGCAGTTACAAATTATGAATTGTGGGTAAGGCATCGATGCAGTGCTTTAATTGACTATAGTATAAAGTATAGTTTGCCTATTAAAGTATAAGCATTAAGAGGGGTGTAATGTAGGATAGTGGTTTAATAAAACGGGCGGAAAAGTATAGAAGTATATGGGTTGTAGATTAGGTAACGAGTGGAGGAATAATATTAATTGCTAGTCAACATGGTGTGCAGAAGAGTAAAAAGCAAATAAGCAATAAACAAGGATAGACTCACACTAACTTGGTGCTGATGTTCTTTTGTGTTGTCCTAACCAGTTGATGTGTAACAGGCTTCAAAGATGCAGTTCGATCGGTAGTAGGCAGTCGATTGCACGGTTCTCTTGACTTTTTAGGGTGGTAGTGTGTCTCTTAGCGACCGAGTTTAGTTGGACAGTATCACCAGGTCCAGTGAGTTGCCTGTCTACTTTAAGTGAAGAAATAGAGTGGGAAAAGTAACTAAAACAACTGCAAAGTAGGAAAAATAAGGCAAACTGAACTTGGAGTCCATTTTGGTTTAGACATGTAGAGAGCCTATGATATCTGAGTGGGGCGCAGATCTGTTCGTATGTGTTAGATCAGTGCAAATGAGGACTTGATCAAGCAGCCTTACAAACGTATGTAATTCATCTGCCATGTGTATTTCGGAGAGAAGACTGTTCCAAATTATTGCATACTTGATGAGGAAGAAGTTTTCCCGAGTTTTTGATCTGTATTTCTCAACTTTGACCGTAGATTCTTTGTTTCGAAGTACATATTCATGTGAATTTCGGGCAAGAACTATATTACATGTTGAATAAGTAAGGTTTTTGAGTAGTTTGAAGTATAGAATCAAATTAGACCTAAGCCTTCTCTTCCAAAGGGGTGCTATTCTTAGGATTTGGCATCGGGAACTGTAGTCAACGACTGATTCAGTCTTAAGTATTTCGCGGGTGAAGTCTCGTTGTATTCCTTCCACCTTTAGTATATCAGATAGGCGTAGGTTGGAAAAGAAGAACGAGCAGTATTCAACGATAGGTCTTACACAAACTTTATAAAGAAGGATTTTGGATTCATTTTTATGGAAATTATGGAGAATGAAGCCAAGCAATTTCCGCATTTTAGATGCTTTGGCTGAGATGTGTTCAGAGAAATTAAGACGTTGTGAGTAGTGTACCCCTAAGTCAGTTACTGATGCCAGTCTGGACAGTGTGTTGTTGTTAATTGTTAGTTTTATTTTGAGAGACGTGTCTCCTATACATAACCAGCCGCATTTCTCTGTGTTGAGCTCTAACCTCCAGCGTTTGCACCAGTCGTCTACTATGTTGAGTTCATGTTGGATTGTTTGCATAGTACTACGTCATTCATTCATTTCATTTCAACACATAGATATTGGTGCAAGGAGGCACCAAATACATATGCGCCACACAGATCTCATTTGATATGTGTGAGGGCTGTGATACTGCTCGGGTGCCCAAACCGAAGCAGGTGGTTTTCTTAGGGGGCCACACCCCGAGCCTTCGACCTGAACGTCTGACCCACAAGGCAGTGGAGCATCGTG